CTCTCTCTCTCTCTCTCTCTCTCTCTCTCTCTCTCTCTCTCTCTCTCCCTCCCTCTCTCCCTTCTCCCCCTCCCTCTCTCTTTCTCTCTCTCCTTAATACTTTAGGTATATCAGGCTGCTGTGGGACAAGAATCTTGACAGCTGCAAGTCATGTAAATCAGCTGAAAGGGTCTATTAGTGCCTTGATTCTTTCAGAGGTCTTAAAGTATCTTTCAGCCCTTGATTTTTTTACTTAAAGCCATGTCTTAAATTTGACAATCTTTTATTGGCTTAAAGGGATGGAGATGAGAAAGTTATTTTTTCATTCTAGCACCTTTATATTTCCTCTAAATTCGACTTGAAATCTGGCTAGTTCTTTTCTGAGTAATAGCTGCCATTTTCAACATTCTGCCTAGAAATATCTCATGCCCAAATGTTCAGTAGGTACACTATCTTCCAAGTTACCACAGGTACTCAGTTTGCATTTATTTTCAGCCTCCAATAATAATTTTCTCACCATTTTTCCTGTCTCCACCTACAGCCCAGTTTCAATGTCACATATATTTGTTTTTGGCACCAATATCTATATGTTATCTATTGCTGTGTAATAAATCACTTTAAATCCCCATGCTTTAAAGTAGTAAGTATTTGTTTAGTTCATGAATCTGTAGGCTGGTGATTTAGGTTGGTCTTGACTGGGCAGTTTTCCTGGTTTCAACCGGACTCACTCCCATGTCTGGGGCAGTCAGTTACCCTACAGATGGTCCAGGATGGCTCTGGCACAAATTTTTCATGAAAAAGGCAAAGAGCAAAGTGAGAGCAATCCCAATGGTATAAGCGCTTTTCAAGTCCCTGCTAACATCATATTTGTGAAAATGCCATTGGCCAAACTTGCATAGCTGAGTTGGGGAGTGTGGGGGGGAGGGGGACAACAACAACATTCCAAGGCAAAGTATGTGGATATAGAGGCAAGTGAAAAATTGGGGCACTTTTGCAACACAGTATAGGGATCAATGTTGTATTTGCTTCATAAAAGTAATCTGGAAGTGTTTCCTTTTTTCCAGTGTTCTGGGATACATTATATAGCATTGGGATTGCCTGGTCTATGGTTTGGTAGAATCTCCCTATGAAACCAGCTGATCTAGTGGCTTTTTTATAGGGTAGTGGACAATCTTTGAAAATTAGTTTGTTTAAACTTTCTGTCTCTACTAGAGTCATTTTGGTAAATTATATTTCCCTGGGTCATTACCATTTCATCTAGGTTTTCAAATTTATTTGCAGAGTTGTACAAAAGTACTCCTTAAAATTAAAATGTGTTGTTCCAATGTTAATTTTTCACTATCATTTTTATTTTGTGTATTTCTGCTTGCCTCCTCACTTGTTAGTTTATTATTTTTTCAAATAATCAAAATACTCATTAACCGTTTTTCCTGTTTTCCTCACTTGTGTGATCTTGTCTTCATTACTTATGTCCCCTTTCTTTTGTTCACTATTTTTTTCAGTATTTTAAATTCATTTAACTTTTATTTTTATCAGTTACAGTATTTTTATGCTATATTTCACCTACTACTGTTTTAATTAGACTCCGTTATCAATCATTTTCTAGAAGCTCTGAAATTTGGGTTTATATTTCCCCTTTGTCCCAAGAGTAGTTTCATAAAAAGTCTTTCTCTAGGTGCGACTTTCAAAAAACATTTTATTAAGTTCTCACTTTATTGCATTGTGATTAAAGGTTATATTATTTCTATTTTGTGGAAATTTAGATGTTTTCTTTGTGGTATAATAAATGGCCAATTTTTGTGAGGATAAAAGGCATATTATCTATTAATTATTCCTTATAATAAGTGCAAAGTTCATATATATATATATATATTCAGAAGATATACTGATTCTGTTGGAATCTATAGGTGGGAATCGAAGACTATCATTTAAGTTGACAAACCAAACGGTTGAGACTGTAAGATTCAAAACTAGTGTATCTTCATTGTGAATTGTGGCTTTTCACGTTATAGTGTCCTTCTTTGTCATGTCTAATTTTTTCCTGAATTATACCCACCTTGCCAGACATCGATACTATAATCTACTTTTTATAATTTGTATTGGCTGGTATATTGTTGTCCATCCCTTTCCTTTTTAGCCTTTCTGGGTCACTTACTTTAAATGTGTCTCTTGTAAATAATAGCCAGTGAGATATTGGTTTGTGAGCCAATCTGAAAGTTTTTAATAGATGAGTTGAGTCCTTCAATTTACTAATTTGACTCATATGCTTGTCCTTACATTTGCTACATTTACTGCATGTTTTTCACTATGTGATCTGGTGTCTTTATTATTGTCTGTTTAGGCATTGAGGGAGATGTCTCTTTTATCCTAGTGATTATACTAAACTATTATCTTTATGTAGTGCTTTGTCCCTTTTTCCCTTATTTAAGCACTATTGGGTCTGTCAACTTTAAGTGATGTTGTTTGACTGGCACATATTGTCTCTGGCAACAAGGAGCGCTTTGTACTGTCTGCTTCCTCTCTCTCTTCATTTATTTAGTTGTGTTGCTTCTACCTTGTCAAAGCATATGCTATTTGATACTATTCTTCCACCCTTATCCTCACTTTCATTTTGGTCTAGATCTAAAATTAAAGATATTCAGTGCTCACCACCAGTCCTTTTGCTGATTTCCCCCATCATCTACTTGGATGAACTTTGTCTTTTAGTAGAATCCTAACGGGTTATTTCCTGAGCTCTTGCATGATTAAAACGTATCTATTTATACATCTATATCTATCTTTATTTCTTTCTATCTATCTATCTATCTATCATCTCCTTGATAACTTAGGACAGCTTAGCTGGATACTAAACACTTAGTTCAAATTTTTTAAGTTTCTTGAAAATGTTGCTCCACTGCTACTTGCTTTTTGAGACATCTGAGGCCAACCTGATTTTTCTTTTGCAAAAGGCTAGGTCTTTTTGGCCTAGTTTTCTCCTCACTTTCAAAGTGTAATAGTTGGCTAGGATAGTTCTTAGCTGATCATTCTGGAACAATTTTCCAAGTAACATGATAGGCCCTTTCAAGATAGAGATTCAGGTCTTCCAGTTTTCAGAAATTTCTCCTGGGGTACAGTTTTAAATATTAACTGTCCCATCAACTTATCTTTTGGCTTCAGGAGCTCCAATTTTACCCATTAATCTTGCTTTGCCTGTCTTTTTACCTATCATTTTCTTTCTGGGCCTTTTTAGCTCTTTCTTTATATTATTTTTGCAGTCTTAGCTGTTTTCATTGCTTTCTTCTATATGCTTTACTGTACTTGCAGTCATTTTTACTTTCATTTGGAAATGTTGTAATGCAGTCTTCATAATGATGATTTTGTCTTTTTATTCAAACTCTTTCCCAAGTTTGGTCAGTTCCCTTTTCACATATGCCTGTTGCTTTTTCATTTTTATTCTGAGTTTTTGAATTTCTGATCTGTGGTATTCTTTTATATTCTATTTTAGGATCCATATTTGAGGGTTGTTTACTTTGTTCCTTTTTCCTTTGGAGTATTTCATCAGCTTGAAAAGTTACGATTCTGTTTTCTTCCTATACTTGTATAGATGGTGAGTTCCTTTTTCTATTTATGTTGGCACGCTTGCAATAACAGGTAACTCTAGGGGGGAAGAGGTAAAATGGGGAATGAATTGAGTGGCTTTCTGTGTTTCTTGGTCCAAGACAGCCCATTTTCTGTTGGTCGATAACGTAAAATTTCTTTAGTAAGTTATATCTAGGTGGCGATGGGGAGGAGGGGGAATTGTCCATTTTCTTCTGAATCTTTGACTTGCTGTTGATAGGCCATCATCATCAGCTTCTTGCTTCCCTTTTCCCCTTTACCCACCAAGCCTGCAAGAGGCACCACTCCCTTTCAAGATGACTTCACCTCTCTGGTCCCACTCATTTTCAAAACCCCTTCCTTTTGACTGCCCACTAGCCACGGCTCTGATCCACCAGGTCTCAGACCTGTTTGCAGGATTTTCCACTCTGGGTGAGACCGTACACAGTTTGGTTTAACTGAAGTGCCAACAAAGGCAAGGGCCTGTGGCAGAAGGAAAATCTGGAGGCTTTTGCAGGAGGCAGATCACACGGGACTTTCTATGGAGGCTTTTGCAATAATTTGAGCAAGGAATAAAGGGGTCTAAAGTAAAACAGGAGGGATGGAGAGAAAGGAACTGCTTTAGGAGTTACCAAAGGATAACCCAAATCACGGGACTGATGGGAAAGAGGGAGGAGTTTTGAGTTTGGGTTCCTGAATGAATGAATGAATGAATGGTGTTGCCAGTTCACTGAAACAGGGACTCTGGAGGAGGAGGTTTGGGGAAGGGCCGGGGAAGATATGTGGAGACGAAGAGAATGCTGGAAGACTCCAAGGAGAGTTCCGGCTGGAAACACAGATCTTGGTGTTACTGGTATATAAGTAGTAGTTGAAGCCCAAGAATAGATGAAATCATCCAATAAGATGGCACAGAATGGGAAGGAAAGAGCAATGAGGATAGAGATTCTGGGCCTAGCAATAATTTGGTCAACGTTGCTCAAGCAGTAGTAATCAGAAGTGTCTGGACGCTGATGGTAACCACGTTGGGCACCTCTTGTAATTGCAGAAGTCAAACATGACTTGTCTTCATCATTTGTTATCAGTATATATTGAGTATTACAATTTTAATACAGTTTTCCTTTCTTAAAATGTGTATACATGTTTTTTTGGCACCCCCTGTGCCGGTGAAGAATGAATGAGAGATCAGGAAAGCACAAGAAAAGACAGAGAGAATGGCCATCAAAAAGAAGGATAAGGATAGTTACTGCAATGGGTTAAAACACGTAAAATATGTTAAGTATATTGTACTGATACTAAAAATTAAAATCTAGTTGCTGTTAGAGGATGGTTGGGAATCAACTCATTATTTTGAAAACTGGGGAATAAAGAGGAAAGACTGTATTCTGCCTCTGTTATGTAAACACTACCACTGGATAACTGGATATGGGACATTTTTCATGTACAAGAATCCCAGCTAATACATGAAGAGGGATAACAAAATTTTATCCCTAGTGAACTAACGGAGCTAGGCATGAGCATCACAGAAGAGCGAGAAAACCAGACATATGTGCCTCCTGACGGAAGGGCACAACACCATCTATGAAGTTGTCTTACATAAAAAGGAAAATAACCATATAAGCATCTGATCATCTAGGTCAGTGGTTATCAAGCAGGGGCAATTCAGTTCCCTCACCCCCACCAGGGCACATCTGGCAATGCCTGGAGACATTCTTGATTATCATGACTTGGGGGGAGGGAATGATACTGGCATCTAGTGGGAAGAGGCCAGTGATACTGCTGAACATCGCAGAATGAGCACGGCAGCCCTCCACAACAAAACGTTACCTAGCCCAAAATGCCCATGGTGCTGAGGTTGGGAAACCCTGTATTAGTAGATCTAACTACCAATCTATAGGAAATACAGAAAATAGAGAACATGTTAAATGACACCGCAGGGACAGAATTAACAAAATTCAGAGTTTGGGAAATTCTTCCGGACAAATGACCCAGTTTTTTCAGCAAGGAAACTGAAAGTAGACACACACACACACACACACACACACACACCCTGTGCTACCTGGACGATGGCCCCTCCAAGCAATCTGATGTGCCTGGGAGTCAGGTAGCCTGTGGGCAGAGCTGAAGCCTGTTCTCCAGGCCCGGCAGGTGTGTTTGGGTAGGAGGTGGTGAGTTATACCAGGTGAACGGGGGTGGGGGGGGTGGGGGGGGGTGGCAGATGCTAAAAGGTGGGTGAGAGCATGACGGAGGACTGAGCATGGGGACGACAAGAAAGGAGACTGGGGGGCACTTTCAGACAGCTGACCCGAAGACGGAGGAGGCAGCGGGAGGGTCAGGGCGTGAGAGACTTGGTTGGGGGTCAGGGTTGGGGAAAGGACAGACAGTGGGGTTCGGGTATGGGATTGGGTGGCTGTGGGTTAGGGTTTGGGGAGGAATGGCCAGTGAGTCAGGGCTGGAAAAGGGGGTGGGCTGGGGTCATGGGAAGGGGGATGGCTTTGTCTCCTCCATTCTGCTGCTTTAGGTCCCTGGATTAGCTTCACTTCTGCTTTTGGAAAGGAAAAAGTCACCATTTTTAAATGCGATATCCAGACTCAGTGTTATCCTGCCTCCTGGGATAAAGACAGAAAAGGAGAGATGCTTTCCTGCCCCGGACACAAGGGCACAGGGACACACAAGCAGGCCATTTATGTTCAGCAAGATGTACTTTCAGAGAGGTCCTGGGCAGCACAGCAGGAATCAGGGAGCAGGCAGAGCCACTGCGGAAGGGAAGAGGCTCCCCGCTGTCCAGGGCCGCGTCTCCAGGTGGGACCAGCAAGTCTGGGCAGGCAGGGTCCACAGGGGCTCCTGGGCCTGCAGAATTCACTCCAGAGGCCCCCGGGGCAGGGACAGGATTCTCTGCTCAAGCTGGGCATACCTTGGGAGGAGCGCAGCGTAGACCTGGAGGGGTGGAAAGAACACTTTAGAATGGGGAGGGGGAGGTGCCTCTTCCATCTCTTTGCAACTTGCAATTTAAACATTTTACATCCCATTTATTTACAATTTAATTTTTCTTTTTCTTTTCTTTTCTTTTTTTTTTTTTTTTCTGGGCAAAAGAAAAGAAGCATCAACTCACACTGAAAAGGGAAATGCTAGTAGTTCTCAAAATCTTAAGATTTTCTTTTAACGCAAATTATGACAAGAAGCCAATTTTTGTTATGAAATCTACAAAGTTGAAAACAAAATTCTGGTGAAGATACCAGGAAATGGCTGTCTCCTTGCACAGCTGGTGGAAGTTGGTGATACAACCCTTTTGGAAATCAACTTCACTCTACATCTGTATCAAGGTGCTTGAAAACTCCCATAGCCTTTGACCCAGTTATTCTACTTCTGCAACACTCTCCTAAGGAACTAACCCCAAATGTAGGGCACCAGGCGCCCCAAGGGTCGCCTTAGCTATCACTCAACATCCAGTCTCATAAGAGCCATGGGCCACACCTTGGCTCTCAAGAGAATACACTAGAGAAACATCTGTCAGCACAGTGGCTGCAGGTGCTCGTCTTCAATAGGAGACCACGTAGTGGGCCATACGGCAGTTGGCACAGACCCTGAAAAGGGTCTCTTAGCCTCCCTGCCCCCCAGGTGACAGCTCAGGTACAAGGTAATGAAATCTACTTTGAACAGGCACAGGAACCACCCTGGCTTTGAAACCTCATGTCCCAGAGGAGCTTTTCTTATGACAGCTCCATAGGCAAGAGACATGCCCACGAGAAGCCACTGCACTCAGGGAAACTCTAAGTATGACTTCCCTTCAGTTTATGGTTTTGCCACTCCAGGTGCAGTTTCCCAATTAAAGACCATTTTGACACAAGCAATGTTGCCTAGGAACACAGTTGACATTCCATTTTATTATTTTATTAAGTCTCAAAGTAAACAGAGCTAGAAAATTAACAGAATAGGGAAAGGTTTTATTAACCCTTTACCCACACAGGGTTAATTATAATTGAAAAACTAGAAGGAACGGCTCTAAGACATGGAAAATGCTCAAGTCAATTATGATGCATTAGCCAGACAGAATACTATGCAGTCACTAAAAATATGTGTATGGACATTTTTAAGAATGTAAATACTTATGTTGTAATATAGAATTTTAAAAGAAGTGGACTACAAAATTATACACACAGTGTGTGTTGTGTAATAAACCCAAACCAAAAACCCAGCAAGGAAAAAATGACCACGAAGGAACACAACCCCACATTCTTATCCTTCGTTCCTTTTTTTTTAAGCTGTTTTCACCAGTGGCTCTGCAAGCCTTGTCTGAGAAATGGAGGCGCCCTTCAGGTGAGCGCATGTTGTCTTACAGACAAACAACATTTAAGACCGAGGGACCTTGGGGCCGGCCGAGTGGCTCAGTTGGTTAAGAGCTCGCTCAAGAGTTTGAGCTCTGAGCAACAGCGGTTCGATTCCCGGCCCGAGCTGAGCAGCCGCTGAGCTGCCAACAGGTGGCAGGATGGCTCAGCTTAAAAAAAAAAGACTGAGGGACCCAGATTTCCCTGGGACTCACAAATGCCACTCATAGTTCATGCCAATCCCATTCCTTCTGAATTTGCCTTAATTAGCTCCAAAGTCAAGTATTTTAGCAACTGACCACACAAGTAGGGCCTACTCTTGATGGAGCTCTGTCTGTGAACATAGAGAAAGTGAGGGGGCTCTGATCTCCTCTCCAAGCAGGAAATTGCAACATGCAGCTGACCTGAGAGAAAAACAGTTACGGTTCTGACTTTCCACTTGAGCACAGCAGTGCTGTAGCTGCCATTGAGAGAAAACAGAGGATGTCACCCTGCTCTCAAGGAATTTACAAGCCAGTCTCCAAATAGGTCACTTATGCTGACACTCATAGACTTGTCATGGTTTGCAACCTGGTGTTGGGAAGGAGTCTGAGGTAACACTTGGGTTTGATGGTAAAGAGTCCTTTCTCTTTAAAGTGACAACTAGTGACTGGCCATGGGCAAGCCAGGGAGAGTGGCGGTACACACACTGAGTATCTGCTAACTGTAATGAGGCAGACGCAGCTGTTTGATTCCCTAAAGCTTTCCCAAACTACCTTCTTCCTTGCGGGCCTCCTTCTAGAGAGGATAAAAGAGCCAGACCTTGCCCCTGCCGTTCTTACAACCAAGGCTGACCATGAGACCAAGTGGTAGCCTGTCGGGGGAATTGATGAGAACAGACCAGGATATCTCCCCCTGATAAGCAAGAAGCATGTGAAGAGAGATTCTCTGTCCAATGCCATGCTTTGATTCCTGCCAGTTGTGGGGGGACATGATGTTTGGGGCAGCTAGAGACATCCTGTGCCCATCTGATTACAAGCGCATCTAAAGCTGCCCTCTCCAATACATATGTGCACTGGAAATGGAACTTGAAATAGTGTTCTAAGCACACACCAGACTTCAAAAGCTTCACACACACAAAAAAAGTAAAATATCACATGAGCAATTTTTCTTATTGATTACATGTTGAAAAGATAACATTTTGGACATGGTGGACTAAATACAATATATTATTAAAAGTAGTCATTTATTTTTTTACTCTTTTTTTAAATGAGACAACTAGAAAATTTAAAATGACATATGTGGCTCTCATGATGTCCCCAATGTCCAGTGCTGACCCAGAGAACTTCAGAGAACATGACCCGGGGCCCTGACACTGCTGAACCAACACTGGCAACTACCTTCAGACCTCCTGTTACATAATTAAGCCATTACAGTCAAGGATTCTTTTCAAGCCTCGCAACTGGCAGGTTAAAAGACAGCAGGACAGATGTCCCCACTTCACAGATGAAGAAACAGAGGTTCAGAGATGAGGAGTGCTGCTCAAGGTCACATGAAGGTCCGTGAGGGAGAGGCAGAAAAAGTTCAGAACGCAAAGGCCCTTTATCTCAATATAGAGTCTTTCGACTGCAGTGAGCTGCCACTTAAACATAAGGACACATGATAGAAAATAACAGACACTTGGGCACACCTATGTGTGTGGGTTATCTGATCACCTGGAAAACATGAGCTTCTGCTTCCAAGGCATGCTGGGAACAATTCTCCACAGTGTTTCTATATGACTGGTGACAGCTTTTGTTCCAGACTATTTTTTCAAGGATGTTTGTATAGCAAGCAGTCTTAGAAGGTAGTGTTGCCCTCTGTGGGCAGAGGGAAAAGATTTTTTTACTGCCCAGGATAACAAAGAAAGTTCCCCCTTTGGAGAGAAAGGTTGGGCAGGTTTGCTTGCAGTTCCTTTATATGGTTGGGGGTTTCTAAGCTCAGAGTCTCTCAGTTGTGACATAGGGTGTACACCGTACCCACCTGGGCCCACTCCACATCACCCACCTTCAGGGCCAAGGGAAACTGAGGCAAATGTTGAAACTCAGGCTGCCTCCTGGACAGTGAGTAATAGAGCCACGTCTGCACCACCCCTGCTCCTGGGCTGCAAGACGCCTGTAACCAGGGAGAGTGGTGCAGTGGAGGCTGTGAATGCCCTTCAAGGAACGGAGAACTCATTCTCCCAGACCTCAGCAACCGCCCACGGTGGGGACTGCTTCGGCTACAGAGAGCGGCCTTACCCCATCTTGGGGTGGCCGGCAGCCTGCATGCAATGACTGACTGACGTGGGGTATAAAGGCCTGGCCCCCATAACACAAACTCTAAAGGATCCTCCCAGCTTCAGAACTTCCTGGAGGACTGGCTGAGGGCTCCACTGGGATTGCCCTGCAGCAACCCGCCTCCCTCCGCCCCGTTCTGCCTCCCGCTTTTCCCTTACACAGGCCTAGATCCCACGAGCACCGCCTCATCAGTCTCCTGCATCCTAACTGACATCTCCAAGTCTGCTTTCCGGGGAGCCCAGCCTGTAACAAGCGGGGGCTGCCTTCACAAGGATTTCCTGGCCTGAGGGATAGCACGGCTGTCTTGGATCCAGACTTTAGATTTGAGGGCTAGAAACCCAGCATGCCTTGTGCTTAAGTGACAGTCTTTCAGTGGCTTCTGTTACCAGATGCAATGGAAGGGCCCACCCTGAGGCACACAGAGCAATGAAGATATGCCCAGCAATCTATCTGTCCCCTGAGGCTATAAAATCAGCAGCATCTGTGACTCTCAACTGACAATCTTGCTTCTTTTGCTGTTTCTTTAGACAATAAAAAAAAAAAAGGTCAAATTTCCCTGTTAGTTGAGCACATCAACTTTAATGTAGGTGAAAAAGGAAAAGCTTACCTTTTGGGGGAAAAAAAACCTGGTTGGTTTTCACAATGCAAATGCTCTGACCAAATTCTGACGGGTCTCTCACCTGAGAAGCTCCTGCGGTTGGGGTTGCAGCTAATCTGGGATTTGGGGATAACTTCACAACCTCTGAAAAGGGCACGTCCGTCCCAGCTGCAAGGCCTAGAAGGGAAATTTCATTTCACATCAGTGCACATTGCAAATCAGGGCATTAACCAGAAATAGCATTTTATCTCTGGGGTGGTAAAATGTTCTAACACTGGATTATGCTGATGGTGACACAACTCAGTACATTTACTAAAAATCACTGAATTGTACACTTGAAGTTGGGTGATTTTTACGTCTTATAAATTGTGCCTCAATGAAACTGTTAAAAGAGAGAAAAGAAAGAGTTTAAATGTAGGCCTCTTCAACAGTGCCTAGTTTGTCTTGCTCACTGATAGCGCCTGTCATGGAATCGGCAACTGACCCTGACATCTGACAGAGCGGGAGGGTTCGCCTGCCTCTCCTCTCTCACATGACCCTGCTCTCCCATGGCTCACTGCATTCAAGCCACCCCAGGCATCTTTCAATTCCTCCTGCCTCAGAGCCTTTTCACTGTGTGGAATGTTCTTCTCTTCTCTTTTCATGGACCTATTTTCTTCTCCTCAGATAAGCTGCAGCTGAGAACATCACTAGTTTGGGAGGCTCCCTAACCCTCCATCCCTAAGCACCATCCGCTTTCCTCAGACCGCTTCTCACAATTTCTGGCCACAGGTTTGCTGAAGGTCCCCACCTTGCTGAGCCGGAAGCTACCTGAGACCATAGACTGGGTCTCCACTGAAGCCCTGGTGCCTAGCACACTGCCTGCATACAGGAGGCACTCAATAAATACTCCAAGCAAATGAGTGGCAGAGCTGGAGAAGAGGGAAGGTTGCCATAGGTGGGCAAGAAACAGTGAGGAATTTCTAGGCAATTTAAGGAGTAGTATCAGATTGACAGGGAAACGCACCACCAAGAATGAAGGAGGGCCCACTGAGGACAGGAGGCCCCGTCTTCTAACTGAATGCGGGAATATCCCAGCTCAGAGCTGCATGAGGAGCAAATGGGATGAATGATGGGGGTCGGGGGCTGGGCAGCAGACTAATCAAGAGATTATAGTCCCCTCTCTACTCATGCACAGACTGGCTGCATGTAAGATTCATCCCTGGACCCAGCTGGGGAGAACAGGTGTCTAGTAAAGTGGCTGACAGGCCTCAGGGTTGGAACTGGTATCCTAGGATTTAGCTCGGGTTTTGGTTTTGGGGGACAGAGTAGGGTGGTACCCCAGGTAACATTTGGCAACTAAATAGGCACAGAAAAGGAAAAATTAAAAAAAAATGCAGTGGAGCATAACGGTAGGGTCCCTAACAGGTAGCTCCTTTCCTGCATTGGCCGAAGGGGGGCGGGGGGGGGGTAGGAAGTGGGCCCCAGGCTTTTCATGGCAACAATCATGGCCAGAAGATTATGGAACAGTGTTTTCAAAGTTCTGAGGAAAGTATTTTGAACGTAAAGTCCTCTGCCCAGCCAAGGTAACATTCTTTGGGAGGACAAAGCAAAGCCCTTTCTGGACATGTAAGTCCTCAGGAAATTATCACCTGCTGAATTTCCTCTTAAAAATTTATTTAGGGTGTATATTCCAACAAAACTAGCATAGAAATGAAAGAGAAAGAAATTGAAGGGAGTTAAAAAAAAAAAAGGAAAGAAAACCTCATAGGGAAGTGTAAGTAAAATCTAATATGATGTAAATTTTAATTAAAAACATAACAATCTGGAAATAAATTACCCAGTGATCTTGATACAGGAGTGACATGAGGTGGGGTGAGGTGAACAGGGTGTGAAGGGAGGGGAATAAAAAAAGAGGTTAATTATTAAGAGAAGGATATGGTCCCTGATTAATTCTCAATGTTGAAAGAAAAATATAAGTTTAACAGGTATGTTAAAAAGTTAAGAGTCAAGGGCCGGCCGAGTGGCTCAGTTGGTTAAGCGCTCGCTCAAGAGTTTGAGCTCCGAGCAACAGCGGTTTGAGTCCAGCCCAAGCTGAGCTGCTGCTGAGCTGCCAACAGGTAGCAGGACGGCTCAGCTAAAAAAAAAAAAAAAAAAAAATTAAGAGTAAACGTGTGAAGAATGAAATCTCTAGAGGAGAAAGACAAAGCCCTTGAGGTACATGGGTGGCCGAAAGGAGCAGCCTGAGCAAACTGACCAAATGGGAGGAAGAATGCCCTTGGGGGCATGTGCTGCTCCTGCCAGAACTTGCTTAGATGGATGGGGAAGATTCCTTTATTATTTGGAGTCTCAGCGAGGCCTCCTTGAAAGCAACGGGCCCTGTGGAGCTGTCCAAGGTGCTGAACTGCTTGGCTCTCCAGCCTTCACCTTTGTATCAACTTCCTGCTCGTGCTGAAAAAAAGAGCTCTGGACTTCCTCCACCACTCCCTCCCACCAGCAGTCCAGACCCACGTCTGCGTGCCTTCAGTATGCTGGGTGTCCTTTCCCAAGGTCCCTGTGCTCAGCCTGACTCTGACCAGGCCTCATTCCGTTAGGACCCTGCCTCTTTTTTTCACTTTAAATAGAGAATGAAGGAACGAGGGTTTGGGTTGCTTCTCGTGTGCTGGGAGGGAGAAAAATGAAGCCACCGCCCCTAAGACTCCAATGTCCCTGAAGACTGGAAATATCCTAATCTCCCCTTTCCACCCTCCTCAGCCCAGCCAGTGCCCCAACCTCTTCCAGAGGCATCTGTTCCCCATCCATCGACCTACCGTGGAAAGCTCTGTACGCACAGCCCACACAGGCTGAGTTGGCAGTGTCTATGACATACACCGGGGCACCAAACACATCCGCAAGCACCTGGAAAGAACAGAGATTCTTTCTGTGGTGAGTCATTTCTCAGAGGGAACACGGACATTTTGGCAAGCATTTCCCAGGCACGCTTTCCTCATTCGCTTTCTGATGCCTTTCATTTCACCTCTACTGCCTTCCAGGAAGGACGCCTGGCCATGCTGCCCCGGTGATACTGTTATCAGGATGACCCAGGGGAAGTCTCTCGTGGAGGGCCACGGCAGTCCAGGTTGTCCCTGCGTTGTTTAACCATTTTGTCAAAGACAAGGAGGCAGATTTAGGAAGTATGCTTAGCAAACAGTCAAGGTGGAGGTGACTGGGTATCAGACTCATCGTAATAAGCCCAAACAAGCCTAACTAACAAGGGCATGTTTTATAGAGATAAAGTTTTCTACTTAGGTCCTCCAAATAAAGTACATAAATTTAGAATGGAGGATGTATACTAAAAGGAGCTCACAGGGAAAAGACTTGGGGGGGTCTTAGTTGACCAGCAATATTGCAGTAGATGCTGCTGCTGCCCCATCTAGAGCCCCTGACTGCACCGGTGTGCACCCCTCCCCAGATGCTGTGAGTATTGGCTGCTAATGGCTCACATGTGCCCCTCCTCAAAAGAACTGCTCTCAGCTGAACAGAGGCTGCCTCTCACAAGAGGTTATTTTCACCTCTCCCCAGGGCAGCCAGTGGGACTCCTTACCCCACGGTGGAACCAAGTCTGAGGTACAGTTCATGTTCTAGATCTCCCCATGGGATAGAGCTGAAGCCAACTCCAGCCAAAACCACATCCTTGCTTGCCCTTCTTCCCCCGCCCTGTCTGCATCCCCGCTTTCTCCCTGGAGAACTCCCTCAACAAATCACTTATAGAAAATGCCCATTTAAGACTCTGCTTCTAGAGAATCTTACCTAAGACAGGTATATTACAAGTCAAGAGTTGATGCAGTTATGCAGACAGCTAAAGCAGCCTCAGGCTACATTAAAAAATACTCAGTATCACAATAAGACTCTGACAGCCCCAAGATGTAACAGCCTGATTGTCAGACATTTGCAGGTTGATTCCACTTTTGGTCACATATTTCTAGCATAATGGAGGACCAGAAAGACAGTGACAAAGTCTGGAGACTATATTGTAAGAGGAATGGTTGGGAAAATCAGAGATCTTTAAATTGGAAGGGAGAAATTTTTAGGAAGACAACAACACTGGCATTTATTTGATGTCAGGTTTGTCATGTGGGACAGGCACGTTTTGTATGATTTGAAAAGCCACTGCTGGTATCAGAGAGTGCAGTTATACAGGGCAGTGGATTTTATCTGAGTATAAGACAGAACCTGCTCACGGTGTGAGCTGTAAGGCAGTAGAGCTGGCTTCCTGGGATAGAATGAGCTGTGAGCTCCCATCCCTGCAGGAATGGGAACAGAGGCCGTCCTTACTGTTGAGCGTCAAGCTCTTGGAAGTAACAGATGTAGAAGACGTCTTAATGCAGGGCCCGCTACATACATTTACCTGCAAGATGTCGCTGTTGTGAGATGCCCCTCCAGTGGCCAAAATCTTTGTCTTGGGCACTGCAAGGAATAAGAAAAGACAAAAGGCAGAAAAGGCTGTTTTCCAGAGTTCTTCAGCCACAAAGGGCTTATATTGGACCAATGCCTCTTGCTTATCACACAGGACTGAGAGAAAGGTCCAAAGCTGGCTTTGTCTCTGCAGGCTTGTCACATGTAATTTGCTTGTGAGGCTGCTGCCCCATCTCTTACTGTTAATTTTTTTTTTAAATCATTAAACAACAAAATCTCTCAATAACCCAGGAATAGAAGGGAACTTGCTTAAATTGATAAAGGCCAAATATCCAAAATTTAAAACAAATATCTAAATTAACAGAAACATTTAGAAGCATTCTCTTTAAGACTAGTGTGCCTGCCAGGATCCCCAAAATGGCCTCCAAATGACTCCTGCCTCCTAATAGTCACACCTTCATGTGGTCCCCTCTCACATTCAAGAGGGCTGACTCAGGTGACCAATAGGATAGTGTGTAAATGATGGAGCGTGAACTCCAAGACTAGGTTATAAAAGACCAACACTTACACCTTGCTCTGTTGTAGATCACCCTCTCTTGAATCACTCTCTTTGGGGGAAGCTAACTGCCACGTCTTGAAGATACTCAAGCTATGCAGAGGTCTCCATGGAGCGGTTCTGAGGCCTCCTGCCAACAACCACGTGAGCCGGCCACCTTGGAAGCAGATCCTGCAGCCTTAGTCAAGGCTTCGGATGACTGCAGCCCCAGATGACACACTGACCTCAACCTCAGCAGGGACCTCAGGCAGAACGAATGAGCTATGCCAATTCCTAAATTCTTGACCCACAGAGACTGTGTAAGATAATAAATGTGCATTATTGTTTTAAATCACTATGTTTTGAGGTAGTTTGTTAGACAGCAATAGATAACTAATACCAGGAACAAAACAAAGATTCATACTATCCAATACACTGTTATATCGTACTAGCTATGCTAGTCAGTGCTATAGGACAAGAAAAATATTGGGTTGTCGGAAAAGTCATGACATATTTTTTCTATGTTTTTCATTGCAAAAATGCATCATGACTTTTCCGACAACCCAATAAGTAAAATGTATAAGGATCAAAAGAAAGATAAAAGTACCATTATTTACAAACAATAGGCCATCTAGAAAAAAATAAAAATAGGCAAACTAATAAAAGTTTAATAGGGTTGCCAGATACACAATCAACATACAATAATCAATGGCATTTCCAACAATAATCAACTAGCAAACGTGATAAAAAATAAATTATCATTCACAATGCCAACCAGAAATGTAATATAGCCAGGAAATACCTTAGCAAAGAATTCAAAGGTCTGTATGAATAAAAAATTGAAATGCTGTTAAAGTACAAAAAAGAATATCTAAATAAATTTTAAAATATCCCAGGGTCTTGGATAGGTTTGCATTAACATTATAAAAGTGTCAATTTTTTTCTAATTAATTTATAAATTCAATGCAACCTAAATAAAAATTCCAACTGGGTTTTTTTCTTAAGCAACTGAACCAAATATATTACAAAATAGATATGGGAAAATAAAGACCCATAAACAGCTAAGACAATATTGAAAAAAGAAAAGCGAGGAGGGTGCATATTACTATATTAGATATTAAAGCATTGTTGTTATGGGCTGAATTGTGTCCCCCCAAAATTCATATGTTGAAGTCCTGACTCCCAGCACCTCAGAATGTGACTGTACTTGGAGATAAAGACAAATATATATTTAAAGATGTAATTAACTTAAAAAGAGGTCATTAGGGTGGGCTCTAATCCAAGAGGGCTGGTGTCCTTGTAAGAAGAGTCAATTAGGATGCACAGAAGGAAGACCATATGAAGACAGAGATAATTTCTGTTGTTCAATACATCCAGTCTGTGGTACTTTGTTATGCAGCCAACTAATAACAGACATACTACAAAGCTATAATTATACAGTTTGCCCCAAGAACAGACCAATAAACCAATGGAATGGAAAAGGGGTACCAAGAGAGACCCATGTATATATAGGAACCTGATAAATGATAAAGAGGGCACTACAAGTAATGGAGGACAATAGAACTGAGCCACCATGTGGGAAAAAAATTAAACTGGATCCCAATTTACAGCATTCCATAAAGTTGGGCTCCAGATGGATCAAAATCCTAAATGTGGAAGGTTACACTAACAGTAGAAAAGGTAAAAAACATTGCTGTGGCACTGGAGTAGCGGAAAACCTCTTAAGCAATATCTCAAAAGCACAAAATTTAAGATGAAAAATGGGTGGGTTTAATTTAATCAAAATTCTGTTCATTTGTTGGCACTATGAATACGTTAATGGACAAACAGTAGAGGGAGCTTGCCACACAGAAAATTGATGAGGATCTAATATTCGAAATATACAATAAGCTTCTGCAAATCCATAAGAAAAAGATAGGAAATCCAATATAGGGGGAAATGGGAAAGGGTATATCAGGTTCTCAGAAAAGTCATGATGCATTTTTGCAACGAAAAAAACATAGAAAAAAATACATCATGACTTTTCCGACAACCCAGTAAATAGCTAATTCACAGAAGAAAAAGCTAGTTACAAAGAGCAGTTCAAACTCATTTAACAAAAGAAACACAAATTAAACCAACACTGAGATACCGGTTTACACCCATCAGATTAGCAAAAGACTGCAAGGGGCTTAATGGTGAGTGTTGGTGGGGACATGGGCACTTTCATGCATTGCGGCTGGGAGGAAACTAATGACTTCAGAGCTGCAAGACTCTCAGCCTCTTCTCTCCACCCCCTGACATTGAGCAGCAGCAGCTTTTGACCTCAAGTTAAAGGACTGTCATCCAGCAAAAGCAAGCTTCTACCTGGGGAGGGTGCTCGGAGGGACTGAGAGAGAGATGGAACTTCAAGTAACACTGAACTGCCACGGCAGACCTGGAAGGAGATAGAGACATGGAAGGCAGTTCCCTCCATCAGAGAAATAAGCTGGATTCATCTTTCAACCAGAACAAAATCCTGCCCAGGTAGAAGGCTTTTGATAAACTTTAGGGTTTGTATATACAAAGGAAATAGGACTATGGCTATACAAATATAAGCTGATAAAAAAGACTAGAACTCCACATAGTACAAGTGGCTGGATGATGGGATGGGATTATAAGTAGTTTAATTTTACAAACTTGCTATGATAAGGTTTTATTGCTTTTACAAATCAACCTTAGACAAATGAAATACATATAGGAACATAAGCTGAAAAGGTACCAAGGCTTTAGCCCAGGCCAGCTGGGTGCAAATGTTTGGTGGTGTCTCAACATCAAGAGAACAATCGTTCCTTAAATAAAGCAGAGGTAGGCGAGGTGGCTAAGAACCCAGAGTCTGGAGCCACAATGGCTTCTTTAAGAAGCTCAGCCAGGGACCGGCCGAGTGGCTCGTTGGTTAAGAGTTGGCTTGGGAGCGCAACCTCTGAGCAGCAGGGCTGCTGGTTCGGATCTCCCATGGGCCAGTAATGTTGCACCCTCTACAGCTAAGATGGTGAGCAACAGCTCGACCTGGGGCTGGGCTGCTGTGAGTCCCGGCGACGGCGTAGGCTGCAGTGGGGCTGCAGTGGGGCTGCAGTGGGCTGCCATAAGCTACCATGCGTGGCCGGCAGCCAGCGTGAGCAACCAGCAGCCAGCGTGAATGGCCGGCAGCCAGCATGAGCTGCTGTGAACTGGGGTCCAAGGGCCGGCAACTGACCTGTCTCAGCAGGGAAGAGCGCAATGATCACAATACAAACATGGGCCAGTGAAGCCACATCCTCCACAACTAGACTGAAGAACAAAAGGACAGCAACTTGTCTGTTCCCCTTCCCCGATTCCCCAGTGCTGTTTCCTCCCCCAACTCTCCAATAAAATCTTTAAAAAAAGAAGCACTGCCAGCCTTGAGTAAGTGACTTAACGCTCAGGTTCCTACTTGGTGAAGTGGGAATAATACCAGCACCTACCTCAGAGGCACTGGTTAATAAGGAGTAAGTGCACAGGACCAGGCCCGGCACACAGTAGGTGCTTAATAAATGGTGGCAATTATAATTATCATGATCGTCAGTCTTACTTGGTCTCCTTCTTAGACACTATGAAAACAAGACTATGGTTGATGAAGAACAGAAACCTGAGCGGGTCAATCCACACAGCAGAGGGGAGAATGATGCCTCTTGTTTGCACAGCCCTTTGTGTTCCTAAGCACGTTCATTTACATGATCTTGTTTGAGAGGAACCCAGCAGAGCTGGCAAGACAGGTTTGATTCCGCTTTTAAACTTGCTAAGAGGATAAGTAATTTTATGCTGTTTTGCACAGGAAATGCTGTAAAGACTGGGAATAATAACATGATCACATTACCCATCCTAAGCCCAGAAGGACCTCTCTGTCCTCAATGCCTCTCCCCAAACACTGGGCTGTCGGGGCCATCCCCCCCCCAACCCATGCCTCCTCCTGACAGCCAGAGGACCCTTTATGCCAGGCACTTGGCGCCAACCTCAGCACCATCCCTGCCCTGCTCAACTGATCTCATTTCTCAGGGAACTCTGAAGTCTTGAAGACCTTTGGGGAATTTTCTTTTCAGTTTGAGTAATAGGGCGGAGAGGAATGAGAATGTTTATAATGCTCATTTATTTACAGTCATGCTTTGCTTGATGAGGGGATAGGTTCTGAGAAACGTCCTTAGGTGATGTCACTGTTGTGCAAACTACCCAGAGTGACTTACACAAACCTAGACGGTCTAACCCAGGGGTCGGCAAACTTTTGAGATGGAAGAGCCAATCCGGTCCCTCAAAACAATTTAAAAAATATTCGAGAGCCGGGCCGGCCGAGTGGCGCGATGGTTAAGAACTCGCTTGGGATGCCAGAGGGCCCCGGTTCGGATCCCACATACGAGGGCCAGTGACACTGCCCTCCACAGCTAAGATGCTGAACAACAGCTCAACCTGGAGCTGGGCTGCCGTGAGTCGCCGGCGGCGGCATAGGCTGCAGTCCTTGTGGCAGTGGGTTGCCATGGGCTACCGTATGTAGCCAGCAGCCAGCGTGAGCGGCCAGCAGCCGCAGTGAGCGGCCGTCCAGAAGCCGGCGACTGATCTGCCTCGCCAGAGAAGAGCACAATGATGGTGCCAGCTTGGGCCAGTGAAGCAACGTCCTCCACAACTAGACTGAAGAACAAAACGACAGCAACTTGTCTGTTCCCTTCCCCCAATTCCCCAGCGCTGTTCCCCTCCCCGCAATTCCCCAATTAAAAAAAAAATATTCGAGAGCCATAAAACAAATGAAATCACCATTATGTGAATAATATCCTTTAAAATTTTTATACATGAAACTATAATAGTTTTATTTTCATTTTCAATTTTACTTCAGAGCCGCATGTGGCTCGCGAGCCGCAGTTTGCCGACCGCTGGTCTACCCTGCTACACACCTAGACTGTATGGCAGAGCCTACTGCTCTGAGAATACAAACCTGTACATCACGTTACTGCCCTGAATACTGTAGGTAATTGTGACACAATGGTATTTGTGTATCTAAACATAAAAGGTACAATATTTTAATATGACTGGCAGCACGGCAGGTCTGTTTACACCAGCATCACCACAAACCCGTGAGGGATGTGTTGTGCTATGATGTTAAGACAGCTACGACCGCACTAGACGACAGGAATTTTGTGGCTTCACTATAATCTTATGGGACTGTCCTACACGTGGCCCATTATTGACCAAAACATCATTATGCGGCACATGATGGGATTTAAAATTCTTTTACTGCACACACACACATCCTAGGGAACGTACATACACATCATAAGCTGACAGTGTGGCAAATTTTCACAAACGAAACACCGGTATAGCCCAGGACACAGAACATCACCAGCATCCTGGGGGCCTTCTCACGCGCCCACTCCTAAAAGTTACCTGCTAACTATCCTGACTTCCAACAACAGGAAACAGTTATGTCTGTTTCTGAATTGGATGTACAAGGAATCCTGCCATATGTACTTTGTGTTTGGCTTCTTTCGCTCAGTTCCATTTGTTGTGCGTAGCTGAGGCTGCTTTGTTTTTGTTTCTGTGCAGTATCACATGGCGTGAAGACCCACAATGCATTTACACCGTCTACTATCAACAGGCATTGGGTTGTTCCCCGTGTGGGGCTATCAAGCACAGAGCCACGACGAATGGTCTCCTGTACGTCTCTGGAGAGCACATATACATGGTTCTGTCATGCATTCACTGACAGGTGCAATGCAGCTTAGTATGTGCTACCTAATAGGTTTTCAGAACGTTTCCCCAAGGCTTATTTTTAAAGTATCTTTTTACTTCGTTGATTCAAAGACATAACACTTATACTACATAGAACTTAGATTGTCCACAAAAGTACCAGGAGGCCATCCAGCAAAGAGGCTTCAGGGGTTTTCTACCTTCTCTAGTGACAACAGCTACTGCTCAGAGGAACAAACACATCTTAGAAAGTTGGACTCCAACTTCCTTGCCCAGAACTATGCCCCCTAGTCACGGCCCCCAGCCCAGACCCTTCCCTCCTGTGTTGCCCATGTCCTGAGGATCCAGAATTTGGAACAGTCACTCTGCAGGTTGGAGCTTAGGGTTACAGAAAGATCTCCACGTCCTACAGCTCCTGGCCAGGTCATCAGGCTACTGGGGACAGAGCAGAGAAGCAGGAACAACCTGTCTCCTAGTGTATGCCTGCCCACAAGTGCCAGTCAACTGCCAGGCTCCACCTCCCTTCTGCATGAGGCCCCTGTAATGGGGGCTTAAAAGACAGTGCCCTGCCAGGTCATGCCTGAAGGCCCAGACAGGTCTCAAGAACCTCCAGGTGTGAGCGGGGTCCTGGACCCCACCCCAGAGATGACACTTACTGACTCGATAGCCCAGGCGCTCGGCATGAATCCTCTTGGCCATGAACTGTCCTTCAATCAGTGCTCGGATCTCCACGTCCTTAGGGAATGCTGAGACCTGTCTCCAGGAAAAAGTGGGCACAGAGTGAACAGCTCTCATTGTCCACTCGTGTGTGTGTGTGTGTGTGTGTGTGTGTGTGTGTGTGTGTGTTCTTTTTAAATAACTGCCCAGATTCAGAACTCATGACTCAGGCCTCCAATGGAGCTCATGCATAGTTGGGCTCCTGAACCACTAACTGCCTCTCTCTCTCTCTCTCTCTCTCTCTCTCACACACACACACACACACACACACACACACACACACACACACAGCTCCCACACATGTGTTCACAGACTTACGTAAGTATCACTTTGGAAGTCTGAGCACCAGAGAGCTCAGGCCACCGAGGGTTCAAATTCTGCCTCTGCCATTCAGCTCTGTGACCTTGACTAAGTTTTGTAAATCTTGCTGAGCCTCATTTTCTTTCTTAACAAAGCTGAGGGAACAGTGGTGCCTGTGTTTCAGGGCGGTTACAGTGATCAAAGTAGACAACAGAGCCTGGTCTACGTAGTGGATACACAGTGAGAGCCAGGAGTTCAGGCTGAGAACCCACACCTGTGGGTCGCCCTTCAGGCTGAAGCTGATGGGGGTCGACTCCAGGCTGGCCTGTCCCTCCAGCTTGAGGCCAGCAATGGATGCCCCCACTCCCTCCCTCACGAACTACACCAGCCCGCCTCACCTATTTTCATTTCCTCAAACTCTTCCCTCTGCCTGGACGTCTGCCCACCCTTCCCATGGGGGGATCCTTCTCATCCTTCAAGTCTCCACCTCAAGGCCATCTCCTCAGAGAGGCCACGCCTGGTCACCCCATCTAAGGCAACTCCGCCAGCTCACCCTTGCTTTCTCACGTGGCACTTTGTTTGTCCCCTTCCTACTCATGTCACACGTTCTTTTCCTATATGTGTTTGCTCACTAGTGTACTGCCTATCTCCCTCTTAGGCAATGAACTCCACGGAGCGGGGAACACGGGTGTCTTCCTCTCCTCTGCGACCCCAATGCCTGGCACCAATCATACATATCTGTAGATCAAACTAATGAAGAAAACTACCTTCTCCTTGACAAACCTCTACAGATTTACATAAAAGAGAACAGGTATATCTTCGCTCTAAGAACAACAAGAAAACAAACTGACCCTCCATCAAAGGACTGAGATGAACCCCCTCCACTTCATATGAAGCTTTCCATTTACAATCTACAGTAACATGTAGTGCTATTATAGGCTTTATAATCCAACACCAACTCTGTTCCACTTACTGACGGAGAGAGACTGACTGAAACCCCCAGACATTAGGGTGAGAAACATCTCTCACAACCCAACCCAGACATCTCTCACAACCCAAAATGTGGCGATGACGCTGGTGACTATCTCACAGAAAAGGCAACTCAAAGCAGCAAGTAACGACCAAATCTCTCCTGGGAAAGGCAGCACGGTGGAGGGGAAAATAAAACAGCAAGTTCAGGGCCAAAGAAGACCGAGTTTGAGCCCCTCCATCACCTAAGCCCTGTGAATTGTGTGCATTATTTAGTCTCTCTGAGGCTCCATTTTTCCATCTGTAAAGGAGTTGATAATACCTCCCTCAGAGAGTTTCTTTGAGAGGTAAGTAAGGAAGATAAAGAAAACCACCAACACAGTGCCTGGAACTAAACAGCACCCAAGAAATGCTGATAAATGTGAGTGCCCCTCATGCCAGAGGCTCTTTCGATGAAGAGGAAATTCATGATCTCAAGATCTGTGAGTTCTTGGGAGGTGTGGGATTAAGCTCCCCAAGGAAACAGGCTCTGTGACACTCAGTGACTATCAGTGTGAGCACGTTAGCTCAGGGGAGACCCCTGAGGTGTTCTGCACTCCTCTTTGAGAGAAAGGATGGGGTCTGTCTTAGATCCTGCTGACTCCCCAGCATCTAGCACACACCCTAGCACATCAAAATGTTTATTTTATAAATGGATGAGTGAATGAATGAAGTCCCTAAAAGTAGCATACAAGTAATTTGACTGGTGACTGTTAAATTTAATACTCAGAATTGGAGCTAATGTAGCACCAATACCAGTAACACACATACCTCATGGTTTTCTGCACTGAACCTATGACGCCCAATAATTTCAGGGGTGATCTCCATTACATCAAAATAGAAACCTGAAACAGACCAGGAAGAGATTAGAAAAGGGCAGGGTGAAATGACTCCACATCCCTGTTCCTCAGGCCTCTTTTATCCTGGGATAAGACCTGTGAATTCTCTCAGTTCCTTCTCTCTGGCAAGACAGAGGGCAACTGTAAAGGCCAAGGCTAGCTTTTTTTTCCCTTTCTGTTTTTTTTGTTTTTTTTTTAAATATTTTATTTGGGAATTGGGGGAGGGAACAGCGTTGGGGAATCAGGGAAGTGAAACAGACAAGTTGCTGTCCTTTGTTCTTTAGTCTAGTTGTGGAGGACTCGCTTCACTGGCCCATGTTGGTATTATCATTGCGCTCTTCCCGAGTGAGGCAGTCACTTGCCGGCCATTGGACGGCCACTCATGGCAGCTCATGAAAGCTCACACCCGCTGCCTCCCTGCAGCCTACGCCATCGCCAGCGACTCACAGAAGCCCAGCTCTAGGTCAACCTGTTGTTTACCATCTTAGCTGTTGTTCACCATCTTAGCTATAGAGGGCACAGCGTCACTGGCCCTCATGTGGGATCCGAACTGGGGCCCTGCTGCTCAGAGCTGGCGTCCCAAGCCAGCTCCACCAACGCGCCACTCGGCCGGCCAAGGCTAGCTTTTCTTAGCTCTTCCTACTCTCACCTGGCAGGCCAGGCCAAGGGGTGGCTGCCCTGCTAACCCTAAAATACCAGCACAGGTTAGATTGATCAAGGGAGGCACGTCCCCGCCCCACTTAGAGACCTGCTCCAGACACTGGGCACTTTTCCTAACAGGACCCTATATCTGGGGCAGAAAGCTGAGTATGGAGATGCACCACAGTAGAGTAGGCGCTGTGGCTGCCATCTCTGATGCTGTCACCAGGGGCAAGGACAACAGAGGATGCAGCTATGGCCTGATCTTCCACTCCCGACACAGAGTGGCAGCCAAAAGCAGCCTTATGGCCCACCTCACTCGGAACACGGGGTCTCACACCAGCTTGTAAGGCCCATGGACCAGAAATGTAGTCAGACAGGGACCCCTTTGGCTTCTTCCTGGCCCTCTTCTCCCCCAGCTCATGGGGGCCCAGGCCCTGCCCCTCCCACGAGCAGCTGCTGCACCTTCATGGGCCTGGGCATCAGCAAACAGCCTACCCAGGTTTCCGCCGTTACCCATCTCGCTGGACCGTAGCGCCGTAGAGAACTCGCTCCAGGAACAGGAAGCAGACTCATCACGGATCTTCTCTCTCATGAGGGAGCCATTTTTAAAGCTGCAGAAGTATACACAACTTTGAGGGAGGGACCCAGTACTTGCTGACTGGACCCCTGTGTTTCCATGTAGAGTCCCAAGCAGAAGGGCTGCAGGTCAGGCTGGACCACAAGCCCCAGACAGTGTATGGCATGAATCTGAGGTTCTCCCTCAGGAATCAGGCCCACCTCAGGTCCCCGGGAATCAGTGGGAAATGCACTTGTCTTGAGCTTTGTTTACAGAGGAGGCTGCCACAAAGGAGCCCAGAGAGGGACAGGGAACTGGGGTATCTGCACACTGTACCATCTGGACAGAGGGGAGGGGCTGGCTAGATTTACTAGACCTACATATTCTCCAGCGGTTCCTGGGCTTAGAGGCTCCGAAACCTCACTCAGTAGCTTCCAGCAAGTCTCCAAAGGCCTGTCCATGGTCAGGGCGCAGAGCACACCCCTTCCATGAGAACTGTCAGGAAGTAGGATGTCCTCACTACCTTTGTTGAAAGTCTACCATAGACTAAACATGTCATAACAATACTATGAAGTAAATACTCTCATTCTCCCCATTTTAAGAGCAAACTGTGGCTCAGATATGCTATTGTGCCTGCCCCAAGCCACAAAGGATGTGGGTAGTAGGGTTGGGTTTTAGGGGACTCCAGGTCCTGGGTTCTTCCCCACCCAGCTCTGCTATCAAGAAAGTCCCTGGGGTCTCAGTTGTCCACAAGTGGAATGACTGCTTCGTGGAATGACTTGGGGTGGTCCAGATGGGGCTGGGCCTGCCCGAACCTCCATCCCCCGCCCCCCACTCAACTTACCATAGAAGTGCCATGTAGTGCTGGGGGTCAACTGGGTTGCAGAAGATGTGGCCTTCCAGGGCGGGCGTGGGCTCCTTGAGCCAGAGAAATAGGGTGTCACTGGTGCCCAGGCTGACCTGGGGAGACACGGGCAGGGTGAGGCACCTCCGTCTTTTCCCAGCTCCACCCACCCTAACCTCACTGCCTCACTCCTCATGTTGCAGACCTCAGGTTAAATGCCACTTCCTCAGAGAAACCTCTCTGCCCCTCCCACACCAGATGAGTCCAAGGTCAGTTCCCCACATACAGGGTGTCACGGATCCTATGGGTGGATTTTCTAAAAATTGCCACAACTGCATCTAACTAATGGTGTCGGTGATGACTGGTTCCCCAAACGATTTTCCCACTAAACCCAGGGGGGCATGCGTGATATCTTCCTTATCTACCTGGGGAGCTCACAGTCCTCTGGCCCAATGTCTGGCCCTTCTGCCACTGTGCCCACCAAGACTGGCCACTGTCAAGGCAAACAGGGGACTCAGCGAAGGCCTGGGTCTCCCTATCCCCAATCTCAGCTGCCTTTTAAACCCTACAGACCCTCTGATAGGCAGCAAAGATGCTGCCAAGACCCAGAACCCCTGTCCCCCAGGGCTGAAAGAGCTGGCTCTACTCGTGAGGTCACCTTACCGCAATGTCACCTTCCTCCAGCCTCATGCCTGCCAGTGACGCTGAGAATGGGAAGGGAGCCTCTGGTTAGCTGGAGGCCAGACGGGAGGCACAGAGCAAATGACAATCACCTGCCAGTTGAAAGGACAGCCCCCACCTCCCATCTGAACCCACATGCTAAGGGTTGAGGCAGAAGTAAGGTGAGCTGAGGGCTCAGGAGGTCCCCAAAGGAGGTCCCAGGGGTCAGAAGGTAGAGTCTCTGTGGTCAGGGCCTCTGATTTGGGGCTGGGACCTCTTTCCTAAAGGGTCCAAACTCTTCACCCACTGTCAGGCACTTCTAGGAGTTCAGAGAGCCAAGGGGAACAAGTCAAGACGCCAGGACACACATGGCAGAGCAAGACGAAGGGGAGGCAGGAGTGAGGTGCTTTCTCCACCCCAGCAGTATGGAAGGGGCCAGGTTATGTCAACTGCTTGGGATCCTGTTCGACGTGAGGGCCATGACCGTGATCTGTATCTGTCTTGTTCATTGATATACTCTGGAACTGAAAGGCCTGGCATGTAGTAGGTGCTCACTAAACATCGAGAATGAATGAAAGGAGAAATGTGGGGGAGGAAGGGTGTATTTAAAACATTGCTGGTGAGATGCAGTCAGCAGCGTGTCAGAGCCTTGGGTCCAGGAATCCCCTCCAAGAACTTATCCTACAGGGACAAGGGACAACATAGGATGTGTACTGCAACACCGTTTGCATTGCCTAAACACCGGAAGCCAGGCCAACCTCCATCATAGGGGACTGGTGAAATAAATGCTGGGACGACTGACATGACATGGCACAAAAAATACTACCCAAGTTAATTAAAATAAAATATTCTTATTTATGGGCATAGAAAGAAGGCTGGAAGGACAGTCATCAAAATTTTAACTGTGGTTATCTCTGGGTTAAGGGATTATACATGATTATTATATCCTTCCTTCGATTAGTATTTAAAATTTTTTTCTGCAATGAAGAGGTATCCCTTGTGAGTTAAGAAAAAAAGCATGAGCCTTTTGTTAGTCTGTTTGCTTATTATTGTTGGTATTTTAATGAAGGAGCAATTAATGTATTATTTAAGGCAGCAGTAAACTGAAGGTAAGACTTAGGGCTGGACCGGCTGAGAACTACCAGCCTGGTATCTCCAACAGTCAGCCCGAAACCAAAAGACAAAAGGACAGAAAACTGCTTCGTCATTCCTGCTCAATTGTGCCCAGAAGCTCACACTTCAGGGGTTAACAAGCAGGCATGTTCTTCTCCCTGACATTCTTCTAGTTGACAGAGTAGGTATAAAAACTAATCCATGTTCCTAATGGATTATTTTCATTTTGAAAGGACAACAAGGTATTTGGATGAGAAGTAAGTCACACCTACGGATCAAATGATGTTGTGGGGATTCAAAACCGTGTCCTAGAGCAAGGGCTGGAGGAACTGAGATATTTAGCTTGGAACAGGTGAGGGAGGGGTGGGCAAGACTGCCTTCCTTCATCGCTGATCAGTTTTGAATGGGGTGAAGGGGCAGCCTTGAGCTGCTCCTGAGAGCTGCCAGGGCCGAGGTGGGGCTGATCCTAGGAGCCGGGTTTCAGCAGTAGAGCCTGCAGCCCAGGAAGGAGGGGCCCCACCACAGAAAGGCTTTATCACGCGGCCAGGCTGGCATTCTCACGTATCCAGCATGGACAAAGTCAGGACACTTGGAGAGTGAAATCCCCCGAGGTACTCACCTGGGTTGTCCCCGGTGAAGGCCACCACTTTGCATCCTGGAGGAAATCCATAGCGCTGGACATAGTAGGAAGAAATGGTTCCCTGGGGAGAAAAAGCCAGCATGCTCTGCTGATTGCCCGCTCAGCACTGCAGTCCACACACCTCAGGCCACGGGAATGCTACAGGCTCCCAGGCAGTGAGCCCAAAGTCGCACCACTCCCTGTGGCAAACCATGGATGTCCCTCCTGTTCACAGATAGCCAGAAGAGCCCAGCGCAGGTTTGGAACCACGAACATGAGGTCATCGCGCTGCTTTAAAGACCACTTGAATTTGAGATTCAAGGCCGCTAGGGCAAACCGGTCCCCAATGTGTACGTGCTGTGTTAGTAGCTCCAAATTCTGGATACAGCATTCCAAATAAATAAGTAAATCACTGGAGGACACCAGTAAGCAAACTCGTGCGAGCAGATAAACCCCTTACACGCACACTCTATCAGCCCAGCAATCGGATTTAATAGCCAGACACATAAATGCAAAGGTCAACGCTCTAAAGAAACTAAACCTAAAAAGGCAGTGTGGGGAGGGGACTCCCCCAGGAACCACGCCCTCAGGGCCCCTCCAAAAGTGGCTATGGGATCAGAGGGCAGGGACACCCTCTGGACTGACACAGAATTTTCAGAAAGTATAGTTATGAAAAGTTTTTCCCCCCTTTCTCTTAGCTCCAAAAGTTTAAAATAAATAATAGGATTTCTGGCGTCTGGGGAAAAAAAGTTTGCTCCGTCCAGCAAAATTTCAGATTTACATCAGAATAAGCCATCTCCCAGCAGATAGAGGCCTTGGCCTCAGTTGCCTCAGAAAACAGAGCCTGAGTCTGAGCATGTGTGCAGATGGCTTATTTGATGAAGCGATTTCAAGAAACAAGAGCAGAACAGAGAAGAGTGGAACAGGGAAGGCTCAGCCACAGGGCAACGTCTGAAGAGCTGAGAGAAGCGGACCTGGGGTTGTCCGCTTCGGGACAGGGCAGGGGGCAGCTCTCCGCAGGTTCCCACTGGTGCAGGGTCCTCTGTGCCTCCAGGTTTGCAAAGCACAAATGTAGAGTCACAGAAGCCCCAGAGCATGAGGGAAATGGATGCAGCTCAGGCAAGGTGCTGCCAGGTGACGATGGAGGGCGAAAAGGGTGGGCTGGGAGGATGCAAGTTGAGGCCCTAGAAGTGTCCAATACAATTCATCACCAAATATTTTCTGATAGAAAACGAGAGAAAGCTACCCGGACACCACCTTTGAAAAAAGAGGTGACACCTGAAGCTGAGGCTGAATAATATTAAATGTCAACTACACTTAAATATCTATATAGTCACAGGATGTGGAGTACAGCATAGGGGATAGAGTCAATGGAATTGTAACAGCTCTATACGACGTCAGAGGGGCAACAGATTGGGGGAGAAGGGTCCTCACTGTGTGAGGGGTATAAATGTGTATTACATTGTTTTGTACACCTGAAACTAATAATAAAAAAAGAAAAGAGATGACAGAAGACATGGATTTTCCTTGTTTTCCCCATCACCATCGTGTGCATATGTTACAAATCCAGAACCATTTCAGAATCAGTCCTTTCCTGGTCCCCAAGCTGCCACTCTGCACAGGCTCCCCGTCGGAGGCCTCCGCTCTTGGCATAAGGCAGACAAAGCCTGCTGCCGTGGACAAAACATGGCCTCCATCTCACATGAAACTAAAACCCCGGCGGCTTGGCTGTGTCCCGCTCGCCCTTCCTCTGTCTTTCTGCCGTGCTGCAGTGTGCCTGGGTCCTGAGCCGTCTGCTTCTATGGGGCAGGACGCCTTTCCTTAAGCTGTGGGTGCTGGCCGCACCGCACCCTCCGGATGGTGATGGCGTGGCTTTGTGGGTCTGCTCATGGTGGCAAAGGCTGTGTTCGGCTTGTCGCTGTTGATCTCGGACAAGTGCGTCTGTGGCTGGGTCTCCCAACGGAGAGGACTCATGATAGCCTGGTTCGCCTCGCGGCCCAACCCTCCCAGCTCCATGACTCTCCCCAGGCCTCGGGGACCGTCCTCCTTCCTTCACACACAAAACTCTGCTCCATGCAGGACTTTTGACTGTCCTGGCTGTGTGGCCTGTGCTCCACACCAAAGGGCCCTGAGGGCAGAGCCCAGGTCTCTCAACTCCATTTTCCCCTCAGAACAGCCAAGAACTGAGTCGGCCAGTTAGGGCACGCCAGGGCGCTCACAGGCAGTGTCTATTCTGAATGGGGGGGTCACCCAGACGCTTAAATGTTTTTACTATTACAGGGGGACCTGGCACTATCGTAAGCACTTTAAAGGTATCAACCCATTTATTCTACACAACAGCCCGACACATTACAAACTATTATTATTCATTGTCCCAGGAACAATGGCAATGAGGAGTAAACTGAGGCAGAGATGAACGTCACAGGCTCAGTTCGTGGTAGAGCCAGGATTCCGTTCCAGGCAGTCTGGCACCAGGGCCTGAGCTCTGCCAGGCTCACCGGCATTTCTTTCCATTTTCACCAGACTGCCTGTTTCAAGCTTCCCTGGTTGTCTCTAGCCCTAGAATTGGAATATTCTATGCAATTTTTCCTAAGGTGTGCAACCACCCAGAACTTGTGCTTCATTTTTTTTTACCTATTCTAATAAATTCCTACTGGAATTTCCCAAAGTGCCCCCCCAAGTCCCACGGCCATAAGGCAGTGGCCTATATATTCACTTGAGTACCTGAGTGCAAGGCACTGATCCAGACATCTAACTTCACGTCTTACATGAGACTGCAAGTCCCATCCGTGTGTGTGTGTGTGTGTGTGTGTGTGTGTGTGTGTGTGTGTACTGCATTGCTTTCCCAGTAGCTGCCAGCTCTTAAAGGCGCCCATCCCTGGAAAGGGGACCTACCACAACTGAGCACGACGGTACCGGTGGGCCAAGCTTCTCCTCTAAATGCGGTGCACAGGCACCAAGGCAAGCCTGTGACCAGACTTTGTCCTGGATCTGCAACAGATTCATTCCAGAACCTAAGGAAGAAAGGAAACAAGAAATAGGAGCATCTGGAAAAAGGGCCTTTTTGTACAAATGCAGAAAGCTGGCAGAGAGCAGATCATTTTCTTGCAGCAAACTTATACCAGTGGAAGGTATACAATGGGCCTGGGTCATGCTGGAACCGGAGAGCCGGAGGCCACTGAGGCCCTTGGAAACAGATGGCCCCACCAGTTCCTCTAAAAATTCCTCACAGGCTCGAACACCACTGTTAGCCTGGAAACCTGCTGCTCTAAGACGTGGCCGGGGGAGGGAAACTACCAGCAATATGTCGACAAGGAACCCCACGGTCTTCGCTGTGTCCCCTGGGGTTTCAAGGTGTCTACTCAGAGGCAGCCTGGTGCTGACGTGGGTCAGGCCTCAGGGACCTCCCGGTCACATCTAACTTTTGGAGGCGAGTGCTCAGACTCCTCCAAACTTCCTTGATCTCATCACTAAGATCAGCCCACTAAGCCTTTCCTAAAACAATCTGCTTCTCCCAATTTACATGGGCATGGGGAAGAGGAGGGAACCCAGAGTGCAGGTGAAGGCAGACAGAGAGGGGCTGAGATGCGGATGGAATCTCATGCCCATGTACAGGGGAGAGAAAGCTGGTAAATTAGGAGGTGACTCCTCAGATGAGAGTGAGGGGAGCGGAGTGGAGGGCTCAGCGGAGCTTGAAGAACGTGACCCCCTGGAATGCCAACTAAAGCAGTGGTGCGACCTCCCCCAGCAGCACTTCACAGCCCCAGGTAGGTGTGGAGAGCACAGGTGGACACGCAGGCTAATCCAGGTTTGGGTTCTCCTGGTCTGAGTCCTACAAAGTTCCCTGCAGGAACCTTTTCTTCTCCAGACTGAGAGAAGCCTGGGGACCACTCCCGAGTCACCTTACTTTATCTCCCCGAAAACGAGAATAATGTCTGGCACCTGACAGCACTCAAACACTTCAGATGAATCCCAGGAAACTCGGAGCATTCCATGACTCTTTTCTGACGCCACTGTCATAGGTCAGGGCTCTCGCTGTGCTCTCAGCTCCCCTCCTGGTCCCTCCGTTTAGTCGAGCCTCATCCAAGAGGCCCGTCAGCAACCTCCCCCCAGCTTTCCTTCCTCACTGGTACCATTTGCATTTATTTTCGTCCACGTTTTGTTTCCAGAAGCTCACAACTCTCACAAGTCCCCCAAATGTGAACAAAAACTTCAATGTGACTCCTCGTGAGAACCAAGCTCCAAGAGGACCCCTGCTCATCGCCGAGTTCTTCCGTTCACACTGGTGAGATCCCCACCTCCCTGGACCTGGGTGGGTCTGTGCGACCAGTAGGCTGGGGCAGAAGCGATGATATGTCACTTCTGAGACTAGGGTCTAAAAGACGCAGCAGCTTCTGCTTGGCTGCTGCCTCCTTCTCCCATCCCTGACTAGCCCCACGGGGGCCCCACGTGGTGAGGGACTGAGGCCAGCAGTCACACGTGTCTTTAGAGGACGGCGGCCCTGGGTGCCAGCCTGACTGCCCCTCATGAGAGGTCATGAGCCAGAACCACCCGGCTAAGCTGCTCCCAGATTACCAACCTTCAGAAACTCTGTGGAAAAATAGGCTTTTGGGGTCTTCAGCTGCTAAGTGCTGGGGTCATCTGTTACACAGCAAAAGAGAGCTATAATCATACACTCCCTTCTTGGCAATGGATGACAGGGCTGAAAGACTGACACCCACCCAGGTGGATGAGGCTCCCACAAGCCCACCGCACAGGCACACTGAAGTCTCACCATCACTGTAGTCAATAGGAGAGTAAGACCCAAGGAAGAGAGAAGCAGCAAAACTACTGACCAAGGAAATTCTCTGTAAAAGAAAGAAACACAGTAAGCGATGACTCACTGCCGTGTATGCTAAGCAACCGAATACTTCTTCCTCTCTCTCCTCTCTCTCCTCTCTCTCTCCTCTCTCTCTCTCTCTCTCTCTCTCTCTCTCTCTCTCTCTCTCTCTCTCTCATACACACACACACACACACACACACACACACACACCCCGTTTTAAATTGGAGAGGGAAGTGGAAACTGTGATCAACATGTCCCAGTAATGAAAGCATTCTGAGTAGCTGGAATACTAAGAACTGACACCCTGGGAAGAGCACCTCACTCTGCCGTTTCTGATAGGCCATACAACTGTCAAGTTCAACACAGACAAAGCAACAAGCCCGAAGAAAAAGCCATGCTTAGGGCAGCAGGCTTGCCACCCGGAATCCGGGAGTGTGGTGCCCTGACTTCCTGCCTCCATTTCTGTGGTCTAGTTGCAAGGGAAGTGAGACATATGGCCACAGGACTCGGAGCCAACCAACACGCTCTCAGGAGTTCAGAGCAAGTATCAGTGAAAGTGACCGGTCAGAAGCCACAGACCCCAGACGGGAGCCGGAGGAATTGATAATGGATTTCAAATGTCAACCTGACAGTCTGTGCTTCCGCATGGAAATCATGGGCCCTTGGACCAGGGGAGAGAATGCTGACATCTCCTGTCTCCATCAGGCCACCTCTGTCCTTTGTTTCACAGAGAAATTGAAGAGGGTTTTTCATCCGCCCCTCCTCACCCATCTACATGGCTAATGCTGCAGAGTCATCTTGAATCATTAAATAAGAAATTGGAAGTTAACTTCCGAGATTAATAAAGCACTTTGGTTTAACGCAAGCTGATCGTTTTCTAATTACTCAGAGATGGCAATCACTACCCAGGGCATTGAGCTGCTCTTCAGGAGGCATTAAGTGCTGACTTCCAGCAACTGTGGATCAAGCAGGCTCTGGTTGAAGGGCCACAGCTGGGGACACTTCAGTCCAGCTTCACGAAATTCCTAAGAAAACGCTGACCCTACACCAATCAAGAGCCTGGTAGCCTGTGAGCTTCCTGCATTCACCATACAGGAAATGAGTGGACAGGGCCTAAGACCACCCAGGTCTCCCACTCAGGCTGTCCCAGGAAGACACCAGTCCCCGCTGCTCCCACCCTGACCCTGACCGCCCCCCTTCTGGACAGGAAACCTAACTTCTCTTTCCCAAGATTCTATTCTTTCCCTCCTCTTTGGAAACAGTCTGACAATGAGAAAAAAGCCAATTAAATCTATCAGTTTTAATGTCTGCTAATCAATGTTTTCCACCAATGCACACAAGATGTATTTATGCTAACAGTAAGTATTATACAAGGAATTCAACTGTGAACTTTCAATCAAATAGGAACGTTTAAACAGTTTAACCAACCTCCGTGCGTGAGTAGGCCTTGGGGTTCTGCTGGTAAATCTTGGCAATTTGGTTTCCTGTAAATCGCTGGAAAAAAAGAGTGCAAATTCTTAAAAACCCAAATCCTACATGGAATGATCAACTCCATAACGTGAGGGTGGCGTGGCATGCTCTGGATATTGGTTAGCATAACGAAAGCTTTAAAAAGGCCTCAAATCTGGAAATGTTTGAAATCTGCCTACCAGCCTTAGTGAATAAGCCTTACTCCTCACGCAGCACAGGGACTGCTGTGACCAAGGGCACCTGTGCAGGGGACTCAGGCATTTTCCCCACCCACATTCTTACTTCAGGTGGCCAAGTAGGGTTGGCCCTATCCCCCAAACCTCTATTCCAGTGAGGGTTGCATGACCCAAGCTGGGCCACTTGCAGCCACCCCATGGGATGGTGTGGGACCACGGCTGAAACCAGAAGCTTTTTCTTTACTTTGCAGTAATTGCACTAAATGTCTTACATGCACTGATGCCTTTCAGCTTCAAAACTACCCAAAATTTAAGTGCTATTGTTATCCCCAGGTTGGAGAGAATGAAAGCGAGGTGTCATCATCACCCCGATATGCAGCAGCTTGACATGAGGAGCACAGCCGTGTTTACACCTCCGCTCTGACCTGGGAACATGCAAGAGGAGACCTGCCCTTCCTTGACAGACAGCACGAGGAGGTAGGACAGCCTTCATCAGAACCAGGGGCCAGGGTGCCCAGTCCTGGCTCCACAGGGTGACACCACAGGGGTCATCACAGCCTCACGTGATCCACACAGGGGCAGGCCACCAGCTGTGTCTTCTCAGACACCCAGAGAGAAGGGGATCAGAGCCAACAATCAGACCTTCCTCCCGGGATCGAACCCAGTACCCAGCCCATGGTGGGCACTGCCTACCTCATAGGCACGGGACCCGGTGATGCAGCTGAGAGACTGGGCCCCACCCACGGCAGCCTCCAGCTGGCGGCACTGGGCTGTGGTGCTGGAGTCCATCCACACAGGGCAGTCGCTGATGGAGAAACAGGCCTGGAAAGAAGGGGAAAATGCTCAGGCTTGAGCTCTGCCTGCTGACTCTGGCAGCCACCTGGGCACTGGCACGGCCCATCACAGCAGGTACAAGTGCTTCTTCTCTGGATGTGACCATGGAAGACCCATGGGCAAGCCCTTCACTCCCACACCTTGGCCTAGCCCAGAAAGCTCAAAATGAAATGTTCTGGTAAGGCCACCCAAGCACTGTAGGCAGCACTGGTGGTGAACAGGGAAGCGCGCTTTGCTGGGGTATTTGGAATCTGGGAGAAAAAGAGAAGCCATGCCAGCCTTCCAGCGTCAACAGGAGACATCCTGCCCCAAGAGGAGGAGGTTCCCGAGCAGGGAACAAGCCAGAGTCGAGCTGGGCAGGAGGGGGCCTGTGTGATAAGGGCTGTTAGCACCTGAACTCTCTCCAGACACCAGGTGTATCCCTCGCAGGGAGGCAGGGCAGACCATTTTATAGGACTACTGCCCAAGCTACCTCCGACACCCTGACAATGCACAAAAAAAGAAACCAAACAGACTTCGGGGCCCCTCTCCCCCTTCTATAGAGGTTTCTCAGGCTCCCGTAACCTGGCCACACTTACCTGAAGCTGCTCGTGTAATGGGAGATCTGGTGACAGGCTCGTCAGCACCCGGCTGGCCCCCGCTTTCCAGCACACACTTCCATGTTGCTGTCGAAGGGAAACCCAAGCACATGTTCCTGAGGCCACACGCTGGTGTCACAACCTTCCGGAGTCACAGAAAGACCCCAGGCCACACCCCAAAAAACTGGAGTCCAGGCCTGTCCCGCCCTTCTTAAGTCACAGAGCCCATCCCCTTCACGAGACTTGGATTTCACGTCTATAACATGGGAAGGAACTCAGCCCCGTCCACCTCACAACTTGTAGGAAGGCTCCAAGAACGAATGATTGGTCTGGACTTTGGTGCCTTTGTAAAGCTGTACTTAAATATATTTAATGAGGCGGCAAGGTGACTCCGTTGGTTAGAGTGCGAGCTCTTACCAACAAGATTGCCGGTTCGATTCCTGCATGGGATGGTGGGCTGTGCCCCCTGCAACTAGATTGAAAACGGCGACTGGCCTTGGAGCTGAGCTGCACCCTCCACAACTAAGATTGAAGAACAACGACTTGACTTGAAAAATATATATATATGGCTCATAATATTACCTGAAATTCACTCATTCATTCACTCACCCACTGAAACATTTATTGAGCACAAAGATCACGCCAAGCATGGGACAGATGAGTAAGATGGTACTGTCTCTATTCTGTGGGATGCTGGCGTTGAGTCAGGGAAAAAGACACAAAGGTACAATTACAAAACCCTGAGGGTGTAGCGACAGGGCTGGGGGAACACGGAGGAGGGCATCGAACCAGCTGGGGGTACAGACAGGAAGAAGTGGACATGGTCATTAGCAAAGGAGCCCAGAGCTGAGTGTGTGGGTGCTGCACGCAGAGGGTAACCACACGTGAGAGCGAGCTTGGCCGGTGCAGGGGAGAACGGCATTTGAAGCAGTGGGCCTAAAGCTAGGGCACGAGGTGGGTGATGGGGCTGGAGGGGAAGGACGCACAGGTGACAGCACCAGGGCCTTGAATGTGCACGCTTAGGAGGCTGGGGTTTATACTGGAGGTGGTGGGAACGCTGAATTAGCAGGCGAGTGATGCGGCCAGGGCTGAATGTATGAAGGGGCCTATGAGAGTCTTGGAGAACGTAGGCTGGAGGCAGAGACGCTGAAGCAGAGGCCCAGCGAAAAACGGTGGGCACGAGGCCTGGGCAGAATTGGAGAAGAGATGGTGGATTCAAGAGTCATGTACAAATGAACATGGGGACCCTTGGATGGAGGTGGGGAGATGACACTTGGGTTGTGGCTCTGAGAGGATAGGGAGAACTCCGTGAGAACGGGAACCCGAGGAGGAGGCGGGGGTCTGAGAGTAGGTGGGCGCTCGGTCTAGGACAGGACAAGTTTGAGGTATTCATAGGCCACTGGCCTTGGGTGTGATGGGGATGCCTAGGCGGGAGAAGGTGTCTAGGCCTAGGGTTCAGATGAGAGGGAGACAAGATCACCCAGGGGACCCATTTAGTTTAACCAGGACAGGAATAGAAAATTCCTGTTAGGTCAGGAAAGAAGAGACATCTTTAGAAAAATGAGTGAGCGCCCTCTAACAAGGAAATGCGCACGGGCTAGTCCAGCACAGAGCGAAGTGACTCAGAGGACGAACCTGGACTTGGGTCCTGGCTTCCGCTCCTAGCAGCTATGTATCCTTGGGCAAGTGCCAACACCTCTCTGTGCCTCAGTTTCCTCCTCATGTAAATGGCAATAATTAAAAAAAAAGTAGCTAAAACTTAAGGGCTTTATGTACTGGGCACTGTTGTACGTACTTAACACTCACATTGACCTGATGGCAGATGAGGCTACAGAGGCACCACAATACTGGATGACGGGCCCCAGGGCACGGCTTGTAAGTGACAGAGCTGGAGACCAAACTCAGGAAGCGTATCCAGAACCCCTGTGCTAACTGCCCCTGAATACCACCTCACAGGATCATTATGGAGATCTAGTTAGATAAGTTATATAAAAGGCTCAGCACAGAACCCGCCATACACTAGGAGCTCAATCACTGCTGTTATTATTAGTACTAATATCTCTACTACTAAAATTGCTCTCACCTTGAGTATCATTTATGAGTTGGGATTTTACTTCCAGGAGATAGAAAAGCAATTTTAGTGACCCCAGTCATAACTAATTCATGTCAAACGTCCCTCCATCCCCTCAGAGGACCTCTCCCCAGGCCCTCCTCACCCACTGTCCTATTTTGTGCAATACTGAATTATAAGAACTCTCAGATCCTTCTGCAAGGAGCCAAGCCATACATCCTCCAAGGTAAAACAGCTAGGGATTTTTACTAATGACAAAAATGTGTGCAGTGAGTCTCAAGAATAAGCACCTTCCCTCTGGGGGAGCTATCACCTCGGGCCACTGGCACCACTGCCCAAGATATCCGCCCTCCCGTGGTCGACGGAGGCCGCTGCAGACAAACCTGGCCTGCCCCAGACAAGGCGAGGACTTGAGAGAAGTCGAAGCCTGAAGCCTTCATCTTCTCCAAGATGACATCCAGAGCCTGAGAAGAAAAGCAGAATCCCAGTGACTGTACTGAACCATGGAACCAGGCAGCCATATAAGCCTCAGAACTGAAATGGAAGTGACTGTCATTACAGAGGAGTTGATGGAGAAGGAACTGACGTCTTGGGGTTTGCAAGCACTGGAATACATTAATTACACAAGTAGACATCAATCAAATAAAAAAGGTGAACTGTGCTAAAAACATTTTAAATAAGTGGAATTATAAACCACTGGTCCTTAAATTAAATTGTGCTTCCTCAAATTTTAGATTTCCACGTGCTCAGGAAGAACAGAAACAAAGTGGCTCAAAATGTGGTTTCTTTTATTTGCATTTTCAACCCCCCATATTAGTGAGGTGACTTCACTGCGATGAAGAAGGGAAGAGCAAAGTAGAAGGCTCCCACCAGAATGGGGCCCCAAGCCCACACTCCCCGTGTCCAGGAATGCAAGGCTGGAGGGAGTCGGTAGAGCTGGTGGCCATTTGTTCCAAGCCCTCACTCCACTCTCCACCATCCAGTTGGATTCCTCTTTCTACCAAGGCCCCATGGTTGGGTGGGAGGGATGGCACTGCCCAGCAAAGCTTGACACTTCCCCTGAGATTTCATAGCAGGAATTAGTCACCCCATGCTGGATTTTCTTTGTGGGTAGAGAAGCCACCTGAGCTTTTTTGCATGACCCTGCCATCCCCACCTTATGCTGAGAGGGCTCCTTTTACAGTCCTGACCATGGCTGTGAACTCCAGTCCAGCTTGCAGAACCTCAGGCAGGACTGGCACAGCTAGAACAGGTCCAGTCCTGAGGGTGTCTCAGAATTAGAAATCACCCTGGTCCCAACCCCAAGCCTGGCTCTCTACCCACTGCTCACCTCCCCAGGTTAAGGCCTTGGCCCATCACAGAAGCTCTTGACATCATCCCTGGGGCCTCTAGACACCGACTCTTGCCTGTCACCCCCATCCCTACCACCCCTCAATCTGGTTAAGCCCTCAGCCAGGCTCTCTGGTGGAAATCCACCCTTTACCCCAATCCTCCACTATGAGTCAGGGTCAGGTTGATAAGAAAGAAATCATACCAGTTATCTTAACAGAAAGAATTTAGTAGTGCAGGGAATTGGTTACACAGGTATTGGAGGAATAAAAAAGCTTTTGGGAGACGCATTAAGTTCTGCCTTTGGCTGGCCTCCAGTTTCAGGGCTTCAGGTCCCCTGTGGCATATCAGGCAGCCCCCAGCTCTATCGTGCCTTTCTGTGCTGTCCACACCCCTGGTCCTGTGGCCTCATGGGTCACCTAGATCTGGCAACAGGCATCTTCCTTTCTCAATGGTCCTGAGGGGGCAGGCCTGCTCGGGAGCAATCTAAGCCCAATGGGGCAGGTCACAAGCCACCATTCTGAGGGCCCCTGCCCTGGAGATGAGGGGCCTAGGGGCTGGGCACTAAGAACCCAAGTCTGTGTTTGGATCTCAGGGTACAAGGCTGGCCACAGCGGCCGACTGCAGTGTCTGGGAAAGGTCTGCTCTGTGCTATTTTAAAGATGGTGACTGGCAGGACCTTACAGCCTCTATGGCTCCGGAACCTGGAGCCCTTTGGGAGTCGTCTCAGCTCGGGAGTACTGACACCAGCTGAAGCTGGTCCTAGGAACCATGAAGACTCCATCTCCCCATGAAGACCTGGTCTCAACAGATGCTCTCATGAGCTGCTTCCTAGCAAATCACTAGGTGATCTGCTGGCGAGATGGGCTGGGGACAGGAGAGGAATCCCTGTACTTACCTGGACCCACATCAGGACTGGAGACGTCACTGTCAGACCATCCTCATGAACATGAACTCCACCCTGAGTGCTGCCAGGAAAGCAAGAGAGAATGTGGGACACAGCTCAGGCAGGGACCCAGCAGTGGCAGATCCCGGGGACCTCCTGTGGAAATGCCTCCTCCCCAACCTCAAGTGGAACGCTACATTCCACAGGTGCAAGTGCTGAATGAGATGGAAAGAGAAGGCAAGGAAATTGCCCAGAGTGGCCCAGAGGTGGCAAGTTTCAGAAAGCACCAGCAAAAACAAGCCTTCTAAATCTTAGGGGTTCATGCTGGAAGGCAGGCATGATGTCACTTGGTGCAGTGGCCATGAAGGGACTGGGGGAGCATGGGATTGGATGAGAAGCCCAAATCCATCGGGTTAGGAGAGGTAGAGGAGGTGTGGCTACAGGAAGTGCTGCATCAGTGGGGAAAGTTCTTGGCTATCAGACCAGGGAGTCCTCGGATTGCAAGCCCTGGAAGGTCCCCTGGAACCGTCTCCCTACCCTCCTGACCGCTACAAGACCCTCGCGCAAAATCATAAAAATAAGATGAAAAATAGCTACGTGTACCAGGTAGTTTTGGACTCATTACAAACCATTTTGAAACGCAGTGGCTTGAAACTACTTAGCTCACAATTCTATTAGTCAGTCTCTGGGCTGGTCTCACCTGGGTGGTATTTCTGGTCTCAGCTGGGCTCACTTCTGCACCTGGGGTCAGCTAACTACAGCTAGAGGGCTCTGCTTCTGGGGGGCTGGCTTCTCCTTCTCTTAGCTAGAGATATGGGGGCAACTCGGCCACATGTCTCTCACCCTCCAGCCGGCTAGCCTGAGCCAGTGGATGGATAAGATTCCAAGAATGAGAGCAGAGTGTGCAAGGCCTGTTGAGACAGGTTTACAATTGGCACAACGTTCCTTCTCTCACATTCTACTGGTTAAGATCAACAGGTCGGGAAATGACTCCATCTCTTGGTGGAAGGAGCTGCAAAGTCACATTGTAAAGGGCATGGGTACAGGGACGGGTGGAGAATTACGGTCATTTCTGCAATATACCACAGTGGGCAAAATCCATGTCAAACACATTAAAACACATATGTAGTACGCAAAAAAAGACTTGAACAAATGCAGAGACATAGCACGTGCTTAGACAGGAAGACTCAATCTCCTATCAAGTCTCTCCAAGTTAATTTATAAATGTAATATGACCTCAATAAAAATATTAACAATTTTGCTTTCTGGAACATTAAATGCTAATTCTAAAGTACATATCAATAAAGAACAAGAAAGAATAGCCACGGAAACTGAAAAAGAACAATGACCAACAATCCCAGATATGAAATCAAATTATAAAGCTAGAATAATTAAAACAACGTATTACTGGCTCATGAACAGACCCACCAACCAATGGAGCAAAAGATAATGCCTAAAAATAGACCTAAACATACACAGAAATTCAGCGTATGGTAAAGCCGGTGTCTCAAATTAGTGAGGTAAAGATGGGACTTCTAAAAAAAACTTCTGTTAAAACAATTGAGGAGTCATCCAGAAAAAAATTAAAGTAGGACATAAATGTCATCCCGTGCACCTAAATAAACTCCAAATATTTTTATAGAGAAAAACTGAAGTCTTACAAGAAGTAGATGAAAACACAGATGAATTTCTTCATAATCTTGAAGTTAGAAGGCCTTTTAAAGTATGGCTCAAAATCCAGAAGCAATAGAAGAAGAGATTGACAAATTGCATAAAAAACAAAAACCCATGTATGGCGACAACTGCAACAAACCACACACAACTCAAAACAAACAAAAATCTGAGAAACATATTTGCAATTCATTAACAACAAAGAGATAATTCCTCCACTATATGAAGAGCTTCCTAGAAATTCATAAGAAATCAATAACCAGTCCAACCAAAAAATGGACAAAGGACATGAGAAATAACTTCACAGAAAAAAAAGGTTTGAGCAGCCCGTTAAGGTATGAAAAGATGCTCAACTTCATAATAAGAGAAATGAAAAGCAAATCTGCATAGAGATGCCATTTTCCAACTCTCTGCTTGGCAAAGAGCAAAAACTCTTTTCCAACCACACTGAACTGGCAGTGCTGTGGAAAAGAGGCACTCACGTGTATTGTTGGTGGGGTGTAAAATCAACACGCTCCCTGTGGAAGGCAATTTGGCCACATCTTCCAAAGTTTTAAATCTATTTACTCTTTGATTCAGCAATCCTATTTCCAAAATTTTATTTTACAGATAAACTGGCATATGTCTGTAATGGCATATAAAATAATTCACTACATCATTTTTCATTGCAAACAACCCAATGTCCTTAAATAGGAGACAGTAAATCTACACAATGGAATATTATGCATCTATAAAAAGAACACATAAGCTCTAGGTACTGACATGGAAACATAGCCAAGTTATTGTTAATTGAATAAAGCAAAGTACAAGATGGTATGCACAGTATGCTTTTGTGTGTAAGAAAGGGAGAAAATGAGAATATTCATATCTGCCGATATTTCAATATAAAACCCTGGAAGAATATACAAAAAAACTAAAGAAGTTATCTGTCAAGGAGGGCAGGAGGAGAGATGAGATCACAGAGGCCTTTTCACTGTATACCTTTTGTTTCTTTTGAATTATGCACCAAGTAAATGCAATGCCTATTAACAAAATATTGTTATTAAAATAACCACTTTGGAAAAATAATTTTTTTTTCTTACAAAGTTAAACATACACCTAGCATATGACTTAACCATTCCTGGGGATTTCATTTCCAAGAGAAATGAAGGCTTATATGTCGACACCAAGACTTGTATGTGAATTTCACAGCCTCTTTATTTAGAATAGAAAAAAACCGGCAATAACCCAAATGCCCCTTATCAGGTGAATGGATAAACCAATTGTGATTCATTCATACAACGGAATACTGCTGAGCAATAAAAAGAACAAACTATTGATACATGTAACAACATGGGTGAATCTCAAAATGATTGAGTAAAAAAAGTCAGATTAAAAAAAGAGTACACAATTAAGCTTCCCTTTATATAAAATTCCAGATAGTATAAACTTAATCTATAGTGATAATAAAATATACCAGTGGTTTGCAGGGGTTGGTGGTGGGGAAGAGGGATGAACTGCAAGGGGACATGAGAAAACTTTTGGGGGATAGGAATGTTGATTATCTTGATTTTGGTGATAGTTTTATGGAGGAACACATATCTCAAAACTTATCAAGCTGTATATTTTATATACTCATATGTGCTGTTTATTATACATCAATTATACCTCAATAAAATTGTAAAAACAAAAAAGGCCCCAAGCCAGAAAATGATCTGGGGGTAAGGGAGGAATGAACTAGATATGTATGTATCAGATTAAAAGATCTTAAAAATGTTAAGTTTGAGTAAAAAAATACTGTATTTTGGTTATGGATACTTTTTTTCCCCCAAAGACGTCTAATGAAGATAACTGATTGACTTACTGAATGGAACAGAGTAAGGAAGAGGTAATTTAAAAATTTAAAAGAAATCGTATAAAGTATGTTTTCAGATCATAATAGAATTAAACTAGAAATAAACAACTCAAAGACAGCTGGAGACGTGCAGATTATCAAATACACGTCTAAAAAACATATGAGTTAAAGAAGTCTCAAGAGAAACTAAAAAATATTTTGAAGTAAATAGAAATGAAAATATAACTGATCAAAATTTGTAGGATGCAGCAAAAGCAGTGCTTACAGGAAATTTTATAGCATTAAAAATGCATATTTTAAGAAAGAACAGCTAAAATCAATAATCTAAGATTCCACTTCAGGAAACTAGAGAAAGAAGAACAGTTTATGCTTCAAGTACGCAGAAGAAAAGAAATAGTAAAAATTAGAGTGCAAGTCAATGAAAATGAAAAGAGGAAAACAGTAGAGAAAAATCAACGAAACCAAAAGCTGACTCTTCAAAAAGATCAACAAAGTTGGGCCGGCCGCGTGGCGCGATGGTTAAGAACTGGCTTGGGACGCCAGAGGGCCCCGGTTCGGATCCCACATATGAGGGCCAGTGACACTGCCCTCTACAGCTAAGATGCTGAACAACAGTTCAACCTGGAGCTGGGCAGCCGTGAGTCGACGGCGTAGGCTGCAGCCCCTGCTGCAGTGGGTTGCCATGGGTTACTGTATGTAGCCAGCAGCCAGCGTGAGCGGCCAGCAGCCGCAGTGAGCGGCGTCCAGAAGCCGGCGACTGATGTGCCTCGCCTGGGAAGAGCCCAATGATGGTGCCAACTTGGGCCAGTGAAGCAATGTCCTCCACAACTAGACTAAAGAACAAAAGGACAGCAACTTGGCTGGTCCCCTTCCCCCAATTCCCCACCGCTATTCCCATCCCCTCAATTCCCCAATAAAAAATAAAAAAATCTTTAAAAAAAAAAAGATCAACAAAGTTGATAAACCTCTAGCCAGGCTAACCAAGAAAAAAAGAGAGAAGATACAAATTACCAATACAAGAAATGACAGAAGAGCCACCACTACTGATCACATACACAATTAAGGAATATTAAGAACTCTATGGCCACAAATTTGATAACTTTGGTGAAATGGACCAATTCCTTGAAAGACACAAACATACGTGGCCAGCAGACCATAAAAGATGGTTTCCAACCTCAAAGGAGGTACATCAGCTGTGGTTACAACATGATGGGTAGTGAGTGCTGCACAAAGGGCCAGAAGGAAAGGCTTCAAGGAGGAAGTGACATCTAAAACAGACATGGAGAGATACATCCACCAAGAACTCTCAAAGCTAACTCAAAATCAGCAAGTCCACAGCTGTGTGGACTGACTTTCCCCCCTCAAATTCATATGTTGAAGTCCCAACCCCCAGGGCCTCAGAATGTGAGTGTACGTGAAACTAGGGTCTTTAAAGAGTAATTAAGTTATAACGAAGTCATTAGGGTAGACCCTAATCCAGTATGACTGGTGTCCCTATAAAATAGGACACAAACAACACAACCAACAGACACAAGGGGTACACACGCACAGAGGGATGACCATCTGAGAGGAAGCAAGAAGGCAGCCATCTGAAAACCAGAGAGATGCCTCAGAGGAAAATGGCCCTGCCAGCACCTTGACCTTGGACTTCCAGCCTCCAGAATTGTGAGATAATGAGTTTCTGCTGTTTTAGCCACCCAGTCTGTGGTATTTTGTTCTGGCAAGCCTACCAAACTAGTATTAAAAAAGCTAGACTCATGATCTTTCTCCTCAAAACCGATTCTCTTTCACAGTCTACCATCCATCCCGAAAGCCAGCCAGAAACCTCACCTTCACATCTCACATTCAATTCTGCAACAAGACCTGTCAATTTGACCACCCAGCTCCCTCTCCTCCAAGCCACCATCATTTCTCATCCAGATGATCTGGAAAAACCTCTTCAATGCTCTCCCAGCATGCACTCCGGCCACCCCCATCTGCTCTCCCACTTCATCCAGAGAGATCTTTTCAAAACATAAACATAACCGTGTCACACCTCACCTTCATCCCTATGGCCCTTCAGTAGCTGACAATAGTTTTTAGGATAAAGACAAGCTCTGTAACATGGTCTATATGGCTCAGCACAGCCACCGCCTCCCTCTCTGCTCCCCAGCCACACTGGCTGTCTTCAATTCCATGAATAAGCAGTGCTCTTTCTTGCCACAGGGCCTTTGCACACGCCGTTCCTTCCGACTGGAATGTCCTCTCCCTTCCATCACCTGGCTAACTCCAATGACCCAGATCTTGGCTTATCACTACTTCCTTATGGACTTTCCCTGACTGTCCCTTCCAAGTATAGGTCACATTCCTTCATAAGAAGCACTTAGAGAAGTGAGTTCCTTTCCTTCAATGGCTTTCTGAGTTTATAACCAAATATCCTTTTGCGAGATTCTTTGATTAACAGCAGTCCTCCCCACTCAAAGGGAAGCTCTGGGAGAGCATGTCTCTTCTTGGTTTGCCATCAAATTTCAGCACCCAGCACAGTGCCTGATGCAAACTAAGTTTCAATTCATACGGACTACATATATTCATGCATGAATGAAAGGAATTGGGAAGGAAGGGAGAAGAGAGCATTCCAGGCATAGAAAAAAAGGTGCTAAGAATCCTACAAGACTACCTACCACTCCTGCAGTTTGATGAAGCCATAACAGTGTGTTTATGAACGTAAAAGACTGAGTGAGGACGCCCAACGCTGCCCCCCCCCCACACACACACACACACACAGACGTCCACGAGGTACATACCCAAATTCCGGAAAGTCTCTGTCAAAATGCACACTGTCCTCATAAAAGATATTCAGCTCTGCATCAACAGCAACAACTTTCACCTGGAAGGCATTTCCCAAAATTGGTGTATAGAATTCTCAGTTTCTACACTGGTCCAGGGGTACAAACATCACCAGGTGAAGCCCAGCACCCTGGAAGTGAGTGGTTCAGGCGGGAGGCCTCCTGGAAAGCTGGGGTGCATCATCATAACTGTGACAAAAGAGCCTCATCTGGGGACATACCCAAAGATATAGTAAAACAAAGAAGCTGAGACCCACGTAGCTCAAGGAATCTCTGTCCCTCAAACAGTCAAATGAGACAGATGTTCACTGATGAGCTGGCTTCCCTCACCTGGCAAAGAGGCCTGAGAAAGCCATAGAGGGCAAGGAATGGAAGGAAAGGTCTGGAGATATTTCTGGGGGTCCACATCTGCAGGGACCTGAGAAACCGGGCAAGGCCCCTGGGCTGTTGTTCATGGTCATGGGCCAGACACATATAGTGTCTTAAAGCAGGCCTCCAAACTCAGAAGTAAGATTCCTCTCCTGGACAGATGGGGAAACTAGCAAGGTAACCTGACTAGTCCGAGGTCCCACAGGTCTAGTGGTCACGGATTGTCAGAGGCCTGCCTTCCTGACCCATTTGAGAAGCAGGTTTGAGTGCAACTGTGGTGATTCCTCAAGTTAAGGAGGAGCGCCTTGGTACCCCATGCCCAATTTGAAGGCAAAGTTTGACTTCGCTCGCCTGTCTGCCAGGTCCTTGGAGCAGCACAGCTCGCCTTTTGGCCAGTAGTGCTGGGCACGTTGACATGGGCATGCTGGTGCCAACCAACGGGGGGGCAAAGTCCATTTGTACATTCTGCTCATTTCACTTAAAAAATAAAAAAGTTTCGAGCAGCACTGGTTATGCCTGTGTGCACGTCTACCAGGATGTCTGGGACACCCTGTCTTACAGTAGTTGAGTTCCTTCGGGTCCCTGTCACTCGGTGGTCATGACGGTGCTCGAGACCACCAGGTCCCCTGGCTCCTCTGGGCACTTCCTCGCCACGTGCTCGCAGGATCCCGCCTTGGGGTGGAGTTGGGGGAGGACGCCGTTTCCGGGAGAGCCAGGGTCCAGGCCGGGTCGCTGTCGCATCTTGCGAGCGGGTAGCCCTGGCAAGGAGTCGTCGGGCAGAGGCGCCGGATCCCAGAGAAATCCGAAAGGGAGGCGCGCCCGCGGCTCGTCCCAGAGGTCCCCGCACACGGGTCCCCGCCAGCCCTCCTGGCGACGCGGAGAGGAGGCCCCGCGCCTCCCGGACCCGGAGCCAGCGGCAGTACCTGCTGTGTGCTGAAGTCCCAACCCAGGCAGCAGCAGCGAGTGGCGGGCTCGACCATGGCCACGGCAGGTCCCGCGGCGCGCTCGTCTGTCCCCGCGGCGTGGCTGTCGCTGCGCTCCAACGCCCGGGGACGCAGGAGCCCGCCCCTCGCCCCGCCCGGCCGGACTCCTGGACCCGAGTCACATGAGGGCTTGTGCTCTGGCGCCGCCTGCCGGGCGACGGGGGTGGAAACGCTCGTCTGGCCGGGGCCTGGAACTTTGAACTTGTGCAAGAGATCCATGTCCCCTGCACAGCCCGCACCCTCCTAACCCCACCTCACCCCTCGTCCCCATCTAAATGTGCCCCCTGCAGAGGCCTTGCTCTAATGCGTCTTGGTGTCTCTCCGAGGACACCTGGGTCAACTTTAAGCTAGCTTGTCCCTACCCGTCTCTCTGGTGGCCCTGGGCCTGAAGACCTACCTACATGGTCATGTATTGGGTACTGGAACAGTTGTCCACTCATGGTGGTGACTCCGGGGTCACAGGGAAATGTGCCCTCGGGCTGGAAGCACTGGGCTTCAGCAGGCCCTGTCCTGACCCAGCAAATCTGAGCGGTTCCCAGCTCTAACATGTGCCACATCCCACCTCTGTATTTAAAACCAGAACTGATGCCCCACAGAGGGGCTCATTTGTCCCTGCTGTCATCTGGTATTGATGGTCTAATGTCAATTAGATTAGGGCCCGGCGTGGTGAAGGCGGAATGAGAACCAAAATCAGACCCATTCCCTTTCTTCATAAAGCTGAGGCCACCTTCGCTTCCCCTCATTCCATCCGGCCATGTCCTTATGGTCCCTAGAACTGACTTCTTCCAGAAGTCCTGCCAACACCCACCTAGATGAGATGCCCCTCCCAGGAACTTTCCAGCCCATCAGAGCCGCTGATGCAATGGTCCAATTACCTATCTTTCTCTTGATGAGCTGCCTGGAGCCCAGATCCTCCTCTTCACCCAAGGTCCCAAGATTAGTAGCAGAGCTGGGCCCAGAGCCAGTAACTTAAACTCCATTATCCACATTTAACTACAAAAAAAGGCAATTTTCTGGGCAGCCTTGTGAGAAGGCTGTGGCAATATACAAATGTCTCATGAAGGCCAAGGCTACTGGCTCTTTCTCAAGCTGCCTCACAGGGAGGCCTTGTCTTGTTCTGAGTACCTTTCTCTTGGGCTGTGGCCCCCACCCCATTCTGGTGACTCATCCTTTCTCTTGATGGAACAGCCCTTTCACTGTGGCCACAGAGAAGGCTGGAGGCCTGAAAGCGTGTTTGTCTACGTGAAGAGACTGTACATTCATGATCTGATCCAATCCATTAGCAATGAATGAAGACAAACATCCTAATTCCAAGTTGTCCACGATTCTCACGTTGTCTTCCTATTGCTGTCCTGAAAAGAGGCACCCAGTAGTAGAGGAGTGTCGGGAAACCCTTGGGAAGTGCAGCCCTGACCTGAGGTTGGTCTTTTGCTTGTCATGTTCCGAGCTTGAACCTGGCTCCCTGCACGTTGAACCCCTGCACTGACTTTGGAAACTGCCCTGGAGGTGTCTCTTTACATTGACAGGGAGGCCCACAGTCCTAGGGAAGAAAAAAGGGGTTCTATGGAAAGTAAATTAAAATGCAGACGTTACCCCCTAACCACCAGCTTCTAGACCCGGCTCCCACAGATAGTTGTTAATAACCTGGAGCATGATTTTCCAAAGCCTTCTTTCATGTATTCAGGACTACTGGGTTTAATTATCTGCCTCACACGCTTATGTAGTGGGGGAAGGGCAGAACCCAGTAAGGGATGAATGCTTTCAAATTGGAAAAATGGAAGAAATCTGTACTCCCATTTAATTTTTCTAAAGTCAAATTTGCTTCTGAGGCGAGTACAAATGCATACGCAACAGGCGTAGTCACACTTTGGTGAAAATAAGCACCTTTCTTCACAAAGCTCTTTGGAATCTGTTTTGCTTAAACATCAAAGTCCACCAAACTTTCTCCAGACATCAACACACAATCAGCTTTAAAAAATGTTAACTTCAGCTGCATGAGTCATTTATTTAACTAGAGGCAGGATCCACCTCTCCCCCTCAAACTTGGACAAACAAATCTGTGTAAAGTTGGCTCTGCCAATGGGTATGTTCAAAGCATTTATTTTCCCTCATAATAGCTTCCCACTGAACTTACAAAGAATTTGTACTGCCTTTGAGATAGAATAGACAGAAGAATTATTGAATTTCTAACATATCTCACGATGACATCTATAAAATGTCAAACAGATATGTATAATATTGGGTTGTCGGAAAAGTCGTTTAGTATTTTTTTTCCTGTTTTTCATTGCAAAAATGTGTCATGACTTTTCCAACAACCCAATAAATTAGTGAGCCTGAATTATAATTGATTTATCTATTTTATTCCTTAATTTCTAATTATTTTTGGTTCACTAACTTTTATCTTTGCCTTAGCAGTGGAAGGGATAGAAATTAAAGCTACCAATGTAATCCTAACTTTTCACTCTTAAAACTACTCATTTAGATAACTATATATTAGCCTGGAGTCCACCCGAGTGTCACTCACAGGGAGCCTGGACAGGAACATGTGGGGTCGACTCACTATTGAATATGATGGAGCAATTTGAAACCCTCAACTGGATCAGTGGTTCCCAAATGTTGTCACTTCCCGGCACCCTTAGAATCTTGACAATTTTTTCACAGTACTCCTAGGCCAAAAAGAAATGGCTAACAACTCTGTTTATTAAGTAGTTAGGTCCAAACAGCTTAATATATATATTTATGTCCTAATAACTGAGTAGCTGTTTGAAGAAAATAATACACATAAATTGGAGGAGAAAATAATATTTCATTTCATTCTTATACAACCAGAATCACATCCTAAGGGGACGTGTGTTCCTGTTGGGAACTATGCAACTTCTCAAATGTTGGGATCAGATTGGATACTGCCATCCTCACTTAATAACTCTATTTTTGGCCTTTTGCGAAACCTCTTCCCCTTTCAATTGCTACTGTTGTTTATTTTTACCTCCTCTTTTTTTTTAAAAAAAAATTCATGTTGGCAGAGATTCTTCCATTTGTCCATATAATTAATTTTCTCAACTAATTTTCAGCCTCCATTTTCTATATTACTCTTTGCTTTCCATTTCATTAATCTCTGCTTTATCATTTTACTTTTTTATATATTTAATGAGCATATTTACCTATTTTATTTCTAACTAAGTTGCAATACCTAGCTCATTAATCGCCAGCCTTTCTCCTTTCTTGATATAAGCATTAAGACTCTAAGTTTTCCTCCTAGTATCATTTTAGCTGCATTCCGCAGTGTGAAACACAGCCTTTTTATCATTCAGTCCTAAATATTTTCTCATTTCTGTTGTGATTTCTCCTTAGACTCACGGTTGTTTAGCAATGTTTTAAAATTTCCAGATAGGTGAAGGCGTTACGTTTACCTTTTTGTTATTGATCTCTGACTTAGCGATTCTCCTACTTCAGCATGCATCAGGGCCCCCTGAAGGGCTTGTGAAAATACAGATGTCCAGGCCCCATTCCCAGAGTTTCTGATTTGGTATGTCTGGCTGGGGCTCTGCATTACAGTAGCCACCAGCTACAAGTGGTTATTTAAATTTAATTTAATTTGAACAAAATTAATGCAATTCCTTAGTCGTATTATTCACATTTCAAGCGTTTAACAGCCCCATGTGGCTAGTGGCTACTGTACTGGACAGCACGGATATACAACATTGTGCAGAGGCCTCTATTAAACTGGAGTGGTGTGGTTGAAAGGGTCTAGGAGGCACAGCCTTAAATCTTTTGAAGTTCTTAATAAAGGGCCTTACAGTTAGTTGTATTCTTGACCTGCTCTTGACCCTGAGGCCCAGGAATCTGTATTTCTAACAGGGGCCTTGGGTAAGTGTGTTGAGTGAGTTCTACAGACCTGTGTTTGGGAGCCACACGTCCAAGCCCCATCCTGCTGGGCCTAAGTTACACTTCGGCCTCCTAATTCATATCCTCTCACCCACTCGAGCTCCTCCAGCCCACCTTCCCACAGCAGCCAGAGTGACCTCTGAGGAAGGCAAAGCTGAACCAGATGTCCTCCTGCTTAAAACCCACCAGAGGCTCCGCACTGCCCTCAGGATGAAGACACAGGCCTTACCTGGGCCTATGGGCCTGTCCACAGCACTGGTCATGCTAGAGGACAAACAGGGGTTGGCTTGTAGTCTCCTCCTCCAGCCCCTCAGTTCTTGAGGGCAGGTGTGGCACTGTCCTCAGTACCTACGGGAGCTGGTCACAGAGCAGGGCACAGACAGTGCTTGTGGAATGAATGTGCCTGACAGGGGCTCCGAGTGGCGGTGGGGGAGGTGCACTGCTGGGCTGTTTGCTGGGCAGGGCTGGGTCAGTCTGGGCTCCACAGGCTGAGCTGGGGCAGGGCTGAGCTGGGACCTTGTCGGGCCTGCTGGGGCCGTCCGAGGGCAGGAGGATGCAGCTCCAGGTGGGAAAGCTACCGCCTGCCTTTAGTGGCCTGAGGTGATGGCTTGTCCACATCTGCTCAGGTGAACGTGTCCTTCTCGCTATCCCTGGAGCTGCTCTCCTATCAGAGGCTCCCAGCTGACCAGATGCTGCCCGGAGTAGACATTCAACAGAGCGCGAGTGGAGAGAGAGAGATGGTGTTTACCCAGAATCTGCTCCTGGAGTACGCCAACCAGACCACTCAGGTGAGTCCTGGGCCTGCTGCACATGCTGAGGGTGGTGGAACTCTGTTCTGGTGGGGTGAAAGGACAAGCCCTGGCAGGGCCCTTAGAATAAGAGGAGCCCCAGCCTCTGCCCTGAAGGCCATCTGCCATGGAAGAGGCCTTGCACATGGAGAGATGAGGGTCCTCCATCCTTACTTGTCTTAGGAGCTCAGAGCAGGTAAGGGGCTATACAGTGAAAAGTCAGGGAAGGCTTCCTGGAAGAGGTGGCATGTGAAGCCTCCTATTTAATCAGTTTAATAAAGAGAGAAGGGAAACTACATTCAAAGTCAGGATGAGGGAATAACCTGATGAGGGGGGACAGGGAGCAAATGAGGCAGCTGAGAGATAACTTTCGGGTTTGTGTGGGGCTTTGGGCACCATGGGCCTAGTTCCATGGACTGTGACAGAAGGTCATGGAGCTGTGATGTAGAGCTGAGCTGGAGAGGCCAAGGGAGAAGAAGAGATGGCCCAAAGCCCCAAAGGAACACATGGCTGGACAAGAGTGGGGAGGAAGACAGGAGGGTGACCCGATAAGGGAGCAGAAACCACAGAGCCTGATCAGGGCAGGGGTGGCAGGGGGAGCAGATGGCACCTTGCTGACCGTTTATCTGCTCAGAATCCCACCAGCAGCTTTAGAGGGCGGCGCCCCTTCCCCTCACCATGGTGCTACCTGTGCACTCCTCAGGGTGTCAGTACTTGGAAGTCCGCAGGGTTGCCCACCAGAGATTGGGGGAGGAGGGGGCTCCCTGGGGCGGTGCATAGGAGCTGCCTGCCCTCATGAGGAGGTCAGACTTACACTCGGGGCCGTTGGAACTGTGACTGGGGTTTGGGGCTTATCCTCAGGGCAGTGGAAGTCAGAGGTCGGCCAAGCCGGAGCCATGAGGGAAGGCACTGCCACGGAGGCTGAGAGGGGTAATCCCCAAGGCCATGCTTATTTGGGAGCATCAAAGGAAAAACTGAGTGAGAAAGCTCCGTGCCATGGTACACATGGGAGAAGTTCTCATTATTCCTTCGCATTCCACCCCTGCCTTGACAGGTGCATACAGTGGGACTATGAAGTGTGTCCTCAGCCTGCACTGGAGCTGGAAGCCCCCACACACAAGCAGATGCCTGGGCTCGAGGACATGGGCAGGGGGGAGGCACAGTCCTGCCCTTGCCCACTCCTGGCCTTCACAGACACGGCCCACCCCCACACCCCGTCCAGAGAGCTCCCGCTTGTCCCCAGCCGTTAGCTAAAGACGTTAAGGACTCTGGATGAACCCGTCCGACTCACTATCCTTTGGGCCTGGGTCCTTGGGTTCTCCAGACACAGTCAATTTTGACACAGCCATTTCAAGTCCAACGTGGTAACTTTATTGGAATTAATCACATCTTAGCTCCCCGAGAAGGGGCCATTTTTGGATCTCGAGGGCCAGCTCAGAGCAGGACTGACCCTGCCCCTCGAGTTGGACAAGGCCTGGGATTTGCGGTCTGGAATCCATGGCCCCATACCCAGACACTCAACTTCAACCTGAGATCAACTTGGGGCCTGACTCTCAGTCATCCAGTCTTGTCTGCCGTCGCTTCTTTGTACTGCAAAGGCGTGTCGGAGAGAAGGTCTGGGTCCAAATTCATGGCATTGAGAAAGGTGTTCTTTACTTCCTCATTCGTATCATCACAGAATGCATCCCCAGTTGTTGAATCCTTGCTCAGGCTCCTGAACAAGCCATTGGAGAAGAAGTCATGAGCTGCGCTTTTGGGAGCTGAAAAAAGCAGCAACTCTGGGGCAGCTCCAGCCATGACGGGCTCTACATCCCTGAGAGGTGGGGCTTTCCTACGCCTGCAGGTCCCCAGCCAAGCCTCGCCGTGAGCCCAGGATGAACGCTTGCCTCTAGAATCAGGCCTGTTCCATCTCTTGACCCCAGCCAGACCCTTTACTCTTCTGCATCTTTAGAGGTTCTGCGCCCCATCTTCATCACTAGCATTTACTGAGCACTTGTCACATGTCAGATGCTGTGCTTTATGTGGGTTTAATCCACCCAAAAACCCCGTGAGGGAGGGAGGCTAGGCTACATGTTTTTATCTATCTGTGCCTTAGTTTCCCCATCTGTAAAATGGGGGATAGTGACGGGACCTTCTTTGCATGTCGTTGTTGTTAGGACAACGAGTGTAAAGGCATGTATAGAACAGGACCTGACAGACAGTAAACGTTCAGTACCTGTTAGCTATTGTTATTACTGTTATTTCATTTTGCAAATGAAGAAACTCAGAGGTAAATGAAGAGTCTTGGAGGTATTAGGTAACTTCCCTGTGAACATCTAGGAAGTGGAAGCAGAGACAGAAATCCAGCCTTCTGGCTCCAGAGCCTGTGTTCTTAACTATTAATTCTATGCCGTTACTCTGCTGCATTGCACTTCCCTCTCTACAATGGGGCAAATGCCTATTCATCCTTCAAAGCCCTATTCAAATGTCACTTCCTCTGTGAATCCTGCCCCAACTCCCTGGACGAAAGTCTCTCTCTCCTGGGACTCCTGTAGGTCCTGTACATCCCTATGTCAGAGCCCATTAGTGACAACTGTTTGCATAATCTGTCTCCCCATAAACTTTGGCTTGCTTAAGGCTGGGGACATCTTACCTCTGCCAGTCCAGCCCTGGGACAATGCCTAGCACAGGTGGTGCTAGTGAGAGTTTAAGGAGGGAGAAGAATGGTGGGGAGGAGGGCAGAAGGAAGCCAGAGGCAGTGACCCCTGTGGTATGAGCAGAGGGCACTGAAGGACATCAGGCAGCCTCTGCCCCCCACTGCTGCTCAGGTCCCCTGGGGTCCCAGGAGACAGTGATGGACTATGTTGGCCCAAATCCCAGAAGTTATGGTTCTGCCAATTGTGGCAAGTCTTCTCCAAAGGTACTGAGGATACTGGAGAACAGCGGCACCCATGTAGGAGTTGGGGTAGAGCCCAGTTCCCAAATGGGTCCTGGGCTGCTCATGTCAAGAGGCCAGAGTCATGAATCAAGACCAGGTTCAGGTGGTTTTGAGCAACTCGGGAGTTCAGACGGGAAAGGAGAGGTACTGAGAGAGCTGGTTCCAAGCCAGTGCCCTCTGCTTTGGAAGAGCAGGGAGCCCAGGGTATCTGGAAGGCAGCACTCCAGTCCAGACAGGCAACAAGGAGGCAAAGAGAGGAGAGGACCTAGCCCAGGCTGGGTGGGAAGAGCCAAGCAGGACAGGAGCTGGCAGAGTCTGGGCTGCATGGAGTTGGGTGGCAACATCCAGGAGCGCTACGGATCAGCGGTTCTCAACCTTTCACAGGGGTCGCCTAAGACCATCGGAAAACACATATTTTCGATGGTCTTAGGAACCGAGACACCGCTCCTCTATCTGTCTCCATGCCCACATGCAGATACGCCCACATACGAGTACCCGGCGACCCCTGTGTAAGGTTCGTTCGACCCCCAAAGGGGTCGCACCCCCCAGGTTGAGAACCGCTGCTATGGACACAGAGTGGCTCTTGTGTCACACGCCCCTTGGGCACAGAGGCCGGGATGGACAGCTCCTGACATACTCTCACTGCCAAGGGCTTGAGAAGCAGGCCCTGTGCTGGCCAGAGCCCAGGGGCCTCACACACCTACCTTTTACGTAAGGGATAGTTGTCCAGACTATCGGAAAGGGGCTGGTTATGTGTTTCTGGAAGCAGGGAGCAGAGGGACAAGGCCAAAATGGCTGACAGGCAGCTGAGAACACTGGATAGGACGGTGAGGCTATGGTTGATGAGTGTCAGTGACAAAATGGCTCCAGCCACCCAGGCCAGAGACACCAGCCCTAGACCTGTCGCCCTGGAAGGAAAGGTCAGAGCTTATCTGGGGTGCCTTGTAAGCCCAGAGGCTGAATAGAGTGGGAGAAACAGCTCCCCCAAACCCCACACCCTCCAGTCTCTACTGTGTCCCAACTCATAGTGCGACCTTGGGGAATTTAGTTCTCCATTGATTCAAAGTAGGTAGTAATTCCTTCTGGGCCTCCTTAATGGGGTCAGGAGTGGGAGAAGTAAGACCCATACAACACTGAGGGGGCGCAGGCAATGATGCTGGGTGGGTAGGACGATGTTGCTGCCATCACTGAGGGCCCCCGCAGTGAAGGGCCTGAACCTCAGAGTGGCCCAGACATGTTTCAGACAGTCAATGCAAGGACCAGGCTCAGACTGCTGAGGGCCAAATGCCAGTCCTGTCACTTGCTTTGTCTGAGCTTGAGCCAGTGCTTTTGCCTCTAATTTTATTGTCTCAAGTAGGTCTCATGACCACGTTTGGGAGATTTTGTGTGTGTGTGAGGGTTAGATGGGGTAATCCATGTAAACTTAGCACACTGCCTGCCACCAGGTGAATGCCCAGTCACAGCTGCTGCTATTCATCTTGTGATTGTCCCTCTCTCCCCACCCACCAGGCTCCTACCTGAGGACAGTAGGGAGGAGCTCAGCAGTGTAGATGAAGAACACGGTGACTGAGGCGGCCAGGCTGCATTCTCCGACCAGGACCATTAAGACCATCATGGATGTAAACTCTGTGGCCAGACAACAAGACCACCTGAGTTTAGGGCTGTCCTCTGGTCAGGACAGGTGGGGGAGGCCTGCACGTCAGCTCTCCTTCAATCCCTCTCAGAAGGCATCTCAACAGTCCAGCCCCAGCACCCTGTCAGCCGACTCAGGCATTCGGTCCAAGGAGGGTCAGTCTGCAGAGGCCCAGTTAGGCTGGGAGTTAGTACATCTGCAGTGGGAGGGAGAGCTGGTCGGCAGGACAGGAGGTCTCACTGGGACCCCTGTGGCCTCTCAGGCCACCATCTACCATGCTGGACTCAGCCCCCCACACCTCAGCCTCCAGGCTCTCTCCTGTCTTGGTGACCCTCACTCCGTGCCCCCCAACCACCCCCACTACCTGCTGCTCCCTGGGCGACCACTCAGCACCAGGCCTGTGGATTTCCTGCTCAGGGCTCTCCCACTTTCCCTTTCATCAAGGTGGACAAGGGCATGGGGTATCCCTGGGGTCCGAACAGCTAGACATTCTAGGTGGCCCGACTCTGGGCAGCCAGATTTGTGCGTTGGAGGAAGAAGAAAGGATCCAGCAAACACCATTCTTCAGGCCTGGCGAAGCGGAAACCAGATCCCCAGCTCACTGACCTGGGGCCACGAGTTTGCAGCTCCTCCGTCAGCCTCTGCTGGACCCTGCCCCAGCCACCTCCCCACTCCAGCTTTTCTTGACTCTGGGATGAAACTGGAAATCTAGTTTTATCTGTTGGGGAGTCTATTCCTTGTTTTTCTCACCTATTTGAGAGTCTTAAACATTTCTGCTTGACTCAGTATAGATCCAACTTAAAAAAAAAAGAAAACAAAAAACAACACACCAAGCAATAGAAATTGAATATGATTTTGTTTCCCCATTTTGTTTTAGCCAGTCCAGACTGCCAACATCTGGGAGAAGAAAGGTCCCGGTCAAGACACGCACAATTCCAGCACCCACTGAGAGAGAGGCAGTCCCCAGGAGGCAGATCCTAGATGCCACCGCCTCAGCGTAGGCCCCAGCCTTGTGGTTAGCAATTCCGATTCCGCAACGTCCTACCCACCAAGCATCACTGACATCTTAATGTCCACATCCTGAGCCTGCCACTCTCTTGCCCTGTGAACTGGGGCATAGTCATTGTCCTAGGGCTCTTTGAAATTTTGAAAATATTGCCAGCTGCCTCCCCCCCCCCCGCAACCCCCCGGTTTTCCGTCTCTAGTTCTGAGCCCACAGGGCACAGGGGCACTGTGCCCCTGGGAAGGAGAGGCCTCCATGCAATAATTCCTGCGAGTTTAGCCCTATCTGACACTCCATGTTCAGTGGGCAGGTCATGTTTTCCTGGTGAGTTGCAGCTAACAATCAGAGGCTACAAGCGAAAGGCAGGGCCTGGGGCAGCCAGCAGCTGAGGGCTATTTTGGCTGCATCTGTTCACATGAAACCACCAGAGCAGACGTGGATTGGAATCAGGTAGAAGAAGGCCAGCAGAGGAACGATTCCTCTGGACAGCCTGCCCTCTGTGAGTGCCCTGTCTTGGGACCCCCTGCCTGCCCTGGGGAGGGCAGCACTCTAGGGACTGGTGCCTGCTCTGGAGAGGCAGGGGCCTCTGCAGGAGAGGTAGGCTGTGGGTGCAGGAGGCTGACCCCAGAGGTATTGTTGGCCAGACAGGGCAGAAGGCACGAGGGAGGGGTGTGAGGCAGCAGGAAGGCATGGGGAAGCCCATCGGGGAGGGTGGGCGATACCTGGAGGGAAGATAAGAATAAGCAAGCTCATGAGGAAGCCTTGGAAGAGAGTCACACCCAGGCTCCATTTCCTCCCCATCTGCTCCAGGAGAAAAATATACCACAGCCGGGCGGGAACCTCCATGATGCCATGAATCACCAGTCTGGAGTGAATGTTCATACCAAAATCCTTCATCTTAATGTTCAGCGTGAAATAGCTGTAACCGACAGTAAACCTGGAATGAAGCCAGGAGAGGGACATTCAGCGAGACAGACAGACAGACAGACGACAGACACATACAGACGGGGCGGGGAATGAAGACAGAAGCAGGGGGCGGGCGCAGGGTGGGAATGGAAGAGAGAAATAAGCAGAGGCCTGGGACCTGTGGGCCACGCCAGGGTCCTTGGGCCTTGCTGCCTCGCAGCCCGGCCATGCCTCATTTCCTCAGCAGCGTTCCTGGCATGCACGTCTGTCTACCATCCCTGCTAGCTGGCCCTGGGTACTCACCACACGCAGCCCATCATCAAGGTCACTTTGCGCAGTTGCCTATTGTTATAGAAGTCCAGGACGGAGGCATTTGTCTCCCTCTTTCCAGACAGCTGTAGTTACAGGACAAACAGGACCAGCCAGAGGCAGGGCAGAGAGCCCAGTTTGCTCCCCACCCTGATAGGACCCACAAAGCCCATCTGCCCCCACAGTGTCAGCCCGGCCTCTGGCCTTCCCCTGGCAGGGTTGGATTTTGCTGTCACCATTCCCAAGCAGTGGGCTGAGGATACCTTCTGGGCCAAGGTCCCACTTGAAAGGATGAGGAGGAAGAGGCCCTTCCACAACCCCTTGCCTGGCCCCACTCTGGGCCTGAGGCCTCTTTCTTACCTTGTCCAAAAGGCTGAAAGGAATGGTCTTCTTGTTGATATAAGCTGCATAGCACAGCACCTGCTTGGCCTTCTCTACTTTGCCTTTCATCATCAGCCATCTTGGGGACTCTGGGAGAATCCTGCATGGTCCAGCCCTCTCTTATGCATCATTCCAAGATGCCCACCCCAGCCTCTGTGGTGGCCGTCCCGTTCCAGCATGCGGTCCTTCAGATGTCGGACCTCAAGATGCCCTCTGCCCCTCCTTGGCAGTCAGCCCTTCCCCTGTCCAAGCCACTGCTGCTCCATGTCACTCTGGCCATTCATTGCCTCTGCCTAACAGTTTCTTTCCCCTCAGCCACCTCTAAGAGCTCTTTACTTTCTATCTCAGGAGTCATCTCCACCTGCCCAGGCATACTGAGGGCAGCATTCTCTGTGCTCAAACTCTGTATTAGAGCCCCATTCTCATAGCTGAAATTTCTCTTCCTGTTCCCTCTCTGTCTCCTAACAGCCTGGAGAGTACAGGGGTGGAGGGGGATGGGCAGGACCCCGGGTCCAAACCCAGGGCCTGGCCCCTGCTGGGTGAATGGAAGTCTCCACTCTGTCCCATCTTCCCCTCTGCCACATCACCATTGTTTTCGACCTCAGAATAAATCTAGTCACTCAGTTCTTCCCAGTCCTCCAGGCTGTCAGAATCTACATATATTAACATTTAAAGCACTTTTGTGTTCCAGGAATAGTGCTCTCGTGCCCTTGTCTATATCATCTGGTTTAACCTCCGCTCCACCCTGGACCTACTATGATTATCCCTATTTTATTCCCAGACTCAGGGAGGAAGGGCTTGCCCAAGGTCACAGAGGCAGAGCTAGTATGAGCCTCGGTCCCCTGATAAGGCACTCTACAAAACTATGCCATCAGCCCCTGCTGATTTCTTGCAAGTCTCCCCTTCCTGTTCCAGCCTGGTCTCTGGGGACTGGTCGCTGTAAACACATGCCCAGGACACTAGTGACAACTTCATTCCTTTTACCTGCCCCCTCCCCAAGGAGCCAGGAGTCATCCTGTCATCCTGTCATCCACTCTCAGGCCACAGAACTCTCTGAAAGAAAGGCATCAAACTGGGACTTCTTGAAAAAAAAAGGAAGACTGACCACATGCCCACTAAAAAGGTGAAAAAAAAAATCAACTCTCAAGGACAAAGAGAGTGGGAGAGAGCACAAGATGGAAGGAAAATTTAACAAATGCACAAAGCCCACAAGTAGATGGAGAGCTGCTAATTGGGTGGGCAGGCAAAGCCCATGCCATGATGTAGGAACGAGATGCAGAACTGTCCTGGCTGCAGAGGACCCTGACACCCCAGTCCTCAGATATAGGACTCCAATTCCCTCCATAGTTTGCCCCTAGAGCACAGCTGGCTGAGGAAGAAGAGCTGCATCAACCTCAAGGGGCAAGGCTGAGGATAAACACAGGCGAACTGAGTGCAGGTCCCCACGATGGTGACAAGAGTCCCTGCTCCGGCCCCTTCACTGGGGAGCACAACAGCCAGGGTCAGGCCATTCCCTGGCTTTGGAATCCCTCAGGGAAAAGGCACCCGCCATTCGATCATCCAATAGTAGTGGTTCTCAAAAGTGTGGTCAGACAACAAGCAACATCAGCATCGCCTGGGAACTTGTTAGATATGCAGATTCTCGGGCCCCACCCCAGTCCTGTTGATTCAGAAACTCTGGGGGCAGGGCCCGGTCATCAATATTTTAACAAACTTCCATGTGATTCTGATATCCACATAAATTTGAGATCAATGGCCCTGAAGGATTACCAGTCAGTCAATCAGCTCCTTCTGTTTCCCATTAGCTTCCTAGTGACTTGCTCTTAAATACGAAGGGATGACCAATGGTCACTTGATAGTCAAGAAAGCCTCCCAAATGAAAAAGCGTCCACAATAATCAAGCAGGAAAATGACCCCAGAGGTCACAGATACTGTAGGGATCAGGAGAGGAGAAAAAAAGAAAACCCTAACTTGTATCCTCAAAAACATTTGTGAATGTTTTGCAATTTTATTTTCATAAAACAATTTCCAAATGCTATTGAGGGAAAAAAACAAACAAACAACTAAAACCAGAGAATAAGGAAAAGCAGTGTAGCCAAACGTTTACCTGGAACTTTTTTGTCCTGGAATTTCAGCTGAAGTCCCAAAGCCAGCGAGAATGGGTGATTACCTCACATTCTGAAGAGAGGTGTTAACACATTCAGGACAGAACTTAATAAAAAAAATTCACAACAGCACAGCAGCCCCTTGCCCCACCCACTTAGAGAGGCTAGAAATTTCCAGTTCATGGAAGTGAGAGAGTCTTGAGTCCCTCCCCCTCCCTGTAGTGCTGTCAGGACTCAAGCTCAGCAAAGGGGACTGACAGCCTTTGGGAAAGGTTGTCTGGGCCTCTCAGCCTCTCGCTGCAGGTTGCTGATTCTAAAAGGTGACTGGCAAGTGGACCCTGCTGTCTTGAAGGCACTCCACTTACTAGGGCGAGGAGACCTCTGCAGAAAGAGGCTGGGGGTGGGGCGAGGTCACAAAGCATTAGGAAATGCCAACACTATGAAGACCCAGAAACGAGCTCTTGAGGCACCTGCATTTGAACGTCTGCCCTACGAGTACGCTGACCATGATAACAGCCCCTCACACCGATTTTTGTCTCTTTTCTTTGATGTCCGCATCCCCTGCCTACAACTTGAAAGATCAGAGCAGGCAGACAGCTGATAAAGAGCAATGGATGAAACAGACCTTAACCCCTCAAGCACTACCCTGAGCAGGCTAGCCACCGGGGAGAAATTATAAATTGGCTATAAGGTCCAGTTTTGAATTGAACTGAATTGGGTTTTTTTTAATGCCTAAAAGTGAGTCTTAACTATCAAAATGAGACTTTTTCTTACAACTAAAAATAACTGGAAAGAGATGGAACTTGACCAAGATACTGTCAAGTATCAGGGAAGGGACAACTGACAGGACATGTCTGAAGGCAGGGGCTGAAGAAAAATGTACCCCATTCAATAAGCTGTGTACTTACAGTATGTAGAACTATGTAGAGATCTACCAGAAGAACGAGCTAAAAGACTTCTGTGTAATGGCTTCTAGGAAAGGAACTAGGGGCTGAGATGGTGACTTACTTTTCATCACAAACTTTTTGGTACTACATAGTTTTTAGCCATATGCATCGACTGCATTCATAACATTTAAAAAAAATGTTTTAAGGTCAAGCCATGAATCCCTGTTTCCCAGTTACCTGACAGTCATGCCACCTGGCATCAGCGGGGTCCCCACACTCACGTGGGTATCACAATGACTGTCAAAGCTGGTCCCCATCTTCTGTAGAATTTGGAAAGTCTCCAAGTCACCTACACGCCCTCACTCTTAACTAGTAAACCCACCTCTTACCACCCATACTGCGTATGGTGCAGTGGTTACAATGCAGGGACTTGGAGCCACACAGGCTGAGTCAAATCCCAGATCGCCTACTTTTTAGCTCTGTGACCTTGGGCAAGTTATTCTGACCCTCTGAAGCCTCAGTTCTCCTCACCCCTCCAGCCCCCATGACATGAGACTCACACCCATCTTGTAGGGCTGTAAAGGTTAAATGTGATAATGTCAAGATTGCGTAGGATCATTTCTTCACAAAGAACTGCTGAACTCTTAACAAGGTGATTTCAGCTCTCTTCCTCTCACCTCGCTATCTGCCTTCTCTTGTGTTCCTCTCCTTTTGCCACCTGCCCACAGATAGCAGTGCCATCTTGCTCTGTTCCCAACCCCTCCTCCATTTTTGCTCATTCAGATGTCCCTTCCTAGCCTTAATCTCTCAGGTTCCTGTCTGGGACTCCCCTACAATTAAAGACATCAGCTACCCTTCCCTGAGTCTGCCTTAGCTGCCAGGATGCCATCACATCTTTCCCCCTGGCCACCTCAGCCCAACGCTGTGAAAGAGCTGGCTCCATTTCTCAGCGCCTCCTCACTCCTCAGCCCCCTGCCACTCCACTGAAGCCACCTCAAGATCATTTAGGTCAACAGACATTTTCCAGCCTTATTTTATTTTATTTTTTGCCTTCAAACTTGACCATTCCCTTGCCCTTGAACTCCTGCCTCTCGACACTTTGCCTTCTGGTTTTCTGACCACCTCACTGACACCTCTTTGAGGGGCTCCTCTGAGGGGGTGTTAATGCTGGGGTTCTGCTCTTGGCTCTCTCTCATCTCGTCCAATGTACCTTCTCCCAGGGAAAATTCTACCCACTCCACCCCTTCAAGGACCCTCCATGCCCTTTCACCTCCAGCCCGTCGGACCCATCCCTGTGCATGCCCCGTACCCCTTTGCTCACCAGATATAGAAGATGATGGAGAATACAGGGGCCCCACCAACCAGAAACAGCAGTCGCCAGTGGGAAAGGCTGTAGGCAAGCCCAGACAGGAACATGATTCCCACAGAGAAAAAGCAGTGCGCCAGGATGATGGCGTGGGCCCCGTGCTCGCCCGCTAGCCACTCGGTCACTGTGCAGAGGCCAAATTCACGGTCAGTTCAGGGGCCTCAGGGCTGCCCCTGCACCCAGCCTTCTGAGATGCCCTAGCCGTGCTTGGCACAGCTCAAACTGGGCAGAAGTTCCTCTGTTTGCTCATGATCTGCCCTAGGTCCAGGGACAGCCCTCCAAAGCCAGGCAGAGTGCCCTGCATCCTCGAAGGCATACCTTAGGCCCCTTGCCTGACCCCCCAATCACACATATAGCCTTCAGGCCCCTCTCCCAGCCTGGCTGCTCCCTCTGTACACCTCTCACTGAGAAGGCCTGGTTCTCAGCACGACGCCCCCCACGCGGCTGACACGTGGTGAGACAAGGAACCACTGCCCTTTGCTCTTAGTGCATCAGTGCTTTGGCCGCTTAGGCCTGGCCTCTGTGGATGACCCAGATCTCTCTAGCCAGGCTTTGGCACACTCCCAACAAGAAGAGTTTCCTGCCAGGGAACCCCGAGCACACCGGGGGATGGCAGCTGTAAGGCTGAAAGAGTGTGTGCGCTTGGGGCTTTCCCAGCACTCAGGCCCAGGGTGAAATCCCAGCTCCTTCACTTCACGGCCGTGTGACGCTGAGCAAATTGTTTGACTTCCTGATAGAATGGCGCCTGCTAGACAGTGTTGTCAAGATGAAATGAGCCAGTACATACAAAGGGCTCAGCTGCTTGCTGGGCCCTTCTTCAGAGCTCAATAAATGTAAGCCGTGTGGAAGGTGTCAAGGGGTATGAGAGAAGAATGTGTGGGGTAGGAGGCAGGTAGCATGGAGGATGAGGGTGGAAGGGCAGTCTACACCCGCCAGGCAGCCTGGGTGGAGGCTCCTTTCTCCATGGCCTGCGCATTTGCGCCACAATTCTGCCCTCCCGGCTCCCAGTGAATGCACCCATGCCGCCCCCGCTCCCCGCTCCCATGCACCCCGCCCCTGTGGACCTGGCCTCATCCCCACTAGTCCCATCTTGTCCCCACACTCCCTGTCCCACCCCACTCTCTCCATGTGGCCTAACCTCCTCACCTAAAGATACGCTGCTGATGCTGTAGCCCACCAGCGCCTGGGACACCCCGAAACGGAAGAACAGATATTGGTGAAAGCTGCTGACGAAGGCTGTCCCGAAGCCAAAAATGATCAGCGCCAGCAGAGATAGCACAATGGAGGGGTAGCGGCCCAGCCTGAGGTCATTGAAGGGAGGCTGCGCCCAGTGCATGGACCTCCATAGCTGGCCCCAGCCAGACACCCGGGGCAAGGACCGGAGCCACCCATGGGCCTCTGGAGTACCCCTCCCCCCACCTCCCCCAACCTGAGACTCGGCAGCTCTGAATGCCCACCAGGAGGAGGCAGGGGTGCCCCAGGGACCAGAGGGAACTCTGGGAGACTTACTTGTCACTTATGAACCCCAAGACGAGTGACCCTATCAGGAGGCCCACCAGGAACAGGGTCTGCACAGTTTCCATGTTAAGTTCCTTGCCACACACCAGGTCAAACTGGGGGTATATGCAGAGGTTGGCCCCAGGCCTCTCCACCCAGGGTCAGCCTTCTGGGTCCAGATATTGAGCCTCTTCCCAGGGTGGGCCCTTAGGCAGAAGGGGCCTGGGACAGGGACAGGTAACTGTGGGTGTAGCATGCCTCATCTCTGTTACCTCTGCCTCCCATCCAGCATCTGGCAGACTCTGGGAGTCAGGCCTGGAGAGAGGGACCAGAGGCAGAGGCCAAGAGTGGGAGGAGGGGGAGGGAGGAGGTGGAGAGGTCACTGAGTAAAACCTGGCATCACTGAAGACCCTTCCCCAAATACAGATGCCCGGACCCAGCCTAGAGATTCCAATCGGGCCGGTCTGCGCTGGGCAGGCCCAGGTTGAAGCTTAGGCTGAGAAGTTCTGTAGGAGGTATGTTGATCTAAGCTGCTTCTTTCCTCAACTCCCTGCCTTCGGTGAGTTCAGAGGGCAGAGCCACAACTACAGAATAAACAATTCCCTGGACAGACGGCAAACTCTGCCATGTGCCTTTTGTCTCCTCCCCTCAATCTACTCGAGCTTCATGGCTAAGACAGGCGAGGCCAGGGCTGGGCAGCAGGAACCCTAAGTTTCTGCCCCGGCCCTGCCTCTACAGGGTGACCTTGTGCCCACTGCTTCCCCTCCACGAGACTCAGTTTCCCCACCTGCTTAGTAAGGGTGAGGGAACATCTCTGGGACCATGGGATAGCTACACACAACTCAGGACGAGGCACACCTCATTGATCAGTGATCGGCTCTTGCTCTCAGGATAGATCCACCCATCTTGGCATGACTGTGTGGCGTTGAGGCCAAACTGGATGATTGAATCCAGATCCCAGGCGACAGGCGTGTACATGAGGCATGTCTGGAAACTGCCATTGGGTCCCTGGGGTAGGGTCAGATTCAGCTGCTCAGCCTCTGACAGGTTGGGGCCCAAGGCTAGTATCCAGCTGGTATTGCAATAGGGCGTCTGGGCTGCGAACACGAAGATATCAGCAAACATGAAGAAGGCCAACAGGATGTTGGGGATAAAGGTGAGGGCCACCAGCTTCCGCTGGAATGTGCCAAACTCCCCCACCACATCCAGGATGTGGGTGAAATTTTCATCCTGCTCGGTTTCCATGGCCTTCAATATGCGTAACATCATCTGCGGAGACCAGGGACAGGGGCGTACTGCTGCCTCATGCTGGTTCAGTTTTGCTGGGACTCGAGCTTCACCTTCAACGTGCTTTTGCTTATCATCTGTTCAAAGAAAAGATTCGGCTCAGTCTCTACCGACGCCACTTCCCAGACATCAGAGATTGGCATAGGAGCCATGGACCAGAAATTGGCCTCTCTGGTTTGGAACAGTTTGGGGTCCAACTTTGATGTTCTCTGAAGTTCCCCCCCTTTGCTTCTGAAGTGTCTTTTTTTTTTCTTTTTTTTTTTTTAGCTGAGCCATCATGCCACTTGTTGGCAGCTCAGCAGCAGCTCAGCTTGGGCCGGGACTCGAACCGCTGTTGCTCAGAGCTCGCACTCTTAACCAACTGAGCCACTCGGCCAGCCCTGAAGTTTCTTAGTTAATATAATTTGTCGTCCAGCCCCCCCCTCCCACACACACACACACACACCACCACCACCACCACCTCCTCCTGCTGGCCTACCCATCCCTATTTTTTTCTTTAAGGTTTTAGAAAATGCTATGCTTCTGTTGTCATGAATGACTGAGTTCTGAGTTCTCCTGCAACTTCCCCAGAAATGAGACTTTGCTTATACACACACCAAGACACCACCAGTCATGCAAAAGAAGAGTGCTCCAGGGACCGTTCCTTCAAAACAAAAAACAAAACACAAACAAACAAACAAAAAACTCCAAAACAAAACAAAAACAAAATCTGGATCAGGAGTAGCCAGGAACTGAGAGGCCAAGGCTGATGGCTGGAAGCCTTGGCCATAGAGGTGGGAAGCCAGGGCCCGTACAGTGGGGCTCCAAAATAATAGGGTGACATACATCAGCATAGAGCCAAACCAGAGGCAGGGAAGTTGGGAGGAGTAAGGTTGCAATACTGACTGTAAGAATATTACTTTGGAATGGCAGCTAGGGGTGGTGGGTGGGAACTATTCTCAAAACTCTGTTTTGAGCCAAAACCCTCAGCAGGGCTGAAGAGGTCTTGGGTAGGAGCACCCCTTGACTACCAGCAGAAGCAGAAGCAGAAGCAAGCCTGCTCTGAAGGAAATGGCTCCAAGTTAACCCTGCAAAACGCTTACAGATTAAAAGCAAGGAGAGAGTTCAAAACAAAGATTATTAAACACATGAGAAGGCAAGCCATTCTGAGAGTCAACAGAAACCAGAAACAACAGATTTAGACTATGAACCTATGATTTTATATATAGAGATAGAGATATGTGTGTATATATATTTTCTGTCTCTGTCCATTGAGATGGCCTAAAAGCAACAATACCTTAATAGCAATGATCACACCTACTACTCAGATCTTGGTTTCTAAAGAAAAGAATCAGGGCTCTTTGGTGAAGTGGTCAATTCCACAGCTGGGGCAGGGAAACTATAAGATGAGTATGGAATGTCTAGTGGTGCCAGAAAGTAAGGAAGTGCCCCCAAAATGATGGGGGGCCACATCAGAAGGACACAGGGGCCAAATAGAAGAAGCCTCCAATGACCAAATCTGGGACAATTTTAGCAACCAAATAAAATATGAAAGTAATAGATTATAACCCACAGAACAAATGTATCTGAGTCCATATAAATAACTGAAAAAAACAAACAGGAGAAAAGGCATAGCTCTTCCTTCCTGCAGAATTCTAATTAAAATAGATAGAAGGAAATCATGGAAATAGAAAAATCACCATTTGGCAAGCATCACAGGTAAATGTGCTGCAGGCAAGAATCATTGATGGATATTAAAACTAGAGGATGAAAGTATGGGAAACAGATATTTGAATAGTCTGAAAGTATCTTCCCACAAGATACTTAGGGGAAAATAATAACTGTATAATGAAGAAACTTAGCAGACACCACTTCAACCAAGTGATGAAAATTCAAGTCACCAGTAATGGGACATGTTGACATCATGTACCCCTTGATGATATCATTCATGCATGAAGAAGGGCACATCATCACTTCTGAGGTATTGTTGCCAAAAAAAAAAAAAGCATAATATTCATACAGTCATGAGAGAACACCAAACAAGTTCAGGGACATTTTACAAAATAACTGGCTAGTGATTTTTAAAAGTGTCCAAGCATGAAGATGAAGCCTGGGGGACTTTTCCAGATTGGAGGGGGCTGGGAAGACATGACAACTAAATGCAGCGTGGGACCCTAAATTGGATCCCACACCAGGAGAAGAACATTAGTTAATTTGTGCAATTTGCCAAATTCAAGTGAGACCTGTAAATTAGTTAATAGAATTGGACCGATGTTAATTTTCTGATTGAGATGATTGGACTATGGTTAAGCGAGATGATAACATTAGCGGAAGCTGGGTAAAGGATAATGAAGATTCTGTGTACAGTAGTCCTGCATCCATCGTTTCACTTTCCACATTTTCAGTTACCTGCGGTCAAGCGTGGTCCAAAATTACAAAATGGAAAATTGCAGAAAGAAACAATTCCTAAGTTTTAAGTTGCATGCCATTCTGAGTAGCGTGATGAAATCTCCTTCGGTCCTGGTCTGCCCCACCTGGGATGTGGGTCATCCCTTTGTCCAGCATCTCCATGCTGTATACTCACTCATACGTTCCCCACCCATTGGTCACTTCGCAGCCGTTCTGGTTATCAGATCAACTGATATCGCAGTCCTTGTGCTCAAGCAACTGTTATTTTACTTAATAATGGCCCCAAAGCACAAGCCTAGTGATGCTGGCAATTCAGATATGCCAAAGGAAATCCGTAAACTTTACCATAGGTATGTTATGTATAGGAAAAATCAGACTATATGGGGTTCAGTACTATCTACAGTTTCAGGTATCCACTGGGGTTCTTTGAACACCCCGCAGGAACTGCTGTACTACTTTTGCAACTTTTTTGTTACACTAAAATTATTTCCAACAAAAAACGTTTTTAAAAACAGAGAAATTGAAAAAGGACACTATTTATAAAATGAAGAAAATATAAACTGGGAACAAATCTTACAAAATATGTGGGAAACACCCATTAGAATGGTTATCATTTAAAAACAACAACATGTGTTGGTGGGGAAGTAGGGAAGTTGAAACCCTTGTACATTGCTGACGGGAATATAAAATAGTACAGCCACTGTGGCAGTTCCTTGAAAATTAAAATAGAGTTATCATTTGATCCAGCAATTCTACTTCTGGATATAAGCCCAAAATAATTGAAAGTAGGGATTCAAACAGCTATTTGTACACCAATGTTCATAGCAGCATTATTCACAATAGCCAAAAGGTGGCAGCAACCCAAGTGTCCATTAATGGGTGAATAGGTAAGCAAAATGTGACTATATATATATATATATATATATATATATATATATACACACACACACACACACATATATATATATATAATTTAGCTTAAAAAATGAAATTGTGTATATATATATATATCACATTTTGCTTACCTATTCATATATATGGAATATTATTGAGCTTTAAAAAGGAATGAAATTCTTATACATACATGCTACAACACGGATGAATCTTGAAAACCTTGTGCTAAGTGAAATACGCTAGTCACAAAAGGACAAATATTGCATGATTGCACTTATATGAGGGACCTCGCGTGGTCAAATTCATAGAGACAGAAAGCAGCATGGTGGTTGCCAAGGGCTGGGAGGAGGATGGAATGAGAAGTTATTGTTAGATGGGTACAGAGTTTAGCTGGGGAAGATGAAAAGTCCTGGAGATGGATGGTGATGACAGTTCCACTGCCATGTGAAGGTACTTAATGCCTCTGAACCGTACTGTTAAAAAATGGTTAAAATGAACTCTTACAACTCAATAGCAAAAAAGAAAAAAAAATCCAACAACAGATAACCCAGTTTAAAACTGGACTGAGGGGGCCGGCCGAGGGGCTCAGCTGGTTAAGAGCTCGCTTGGGGCCCCAGTCACTGAGCCGCCGCCCAGGACTCAGCAGCCTCCCCCTAGAGCCCCCTCGCTTTCCGACGCTCCGTCCCCCCTGCCCGCCTTCTCCTGCCGCCGCCTTCCGCAGGCCGTTTCCACCAAGGAAAAGGAATCGTATCGTATGTCCGCTGTCCAGAACCTCCACTCTTTCGACCCCTTTGCTGATGCAAGTAAGGGTGATGCTCTGCTTCCTGCTGGCACTGAGGATTATATCCATATAAGAATTCAACAGAGAAACGGCAGGAAGACCCTTACTACTGTCCAAGGGATCGCTGATGATTACGATAAAAAGAAACTAGTGAAGGCGTTTAAGAAGAAATTTGCCTGCAATGGTCCTGTAATTGAGCATCCAGAACATGGAGAAGTAATTCAGCTTCAGGGTGACCAGCGCAAGAACATATGCCAGTTCCTCATAGAGATTGGACTGGCTAAGGAGGACCAGCTGAAGGTTCATGGGTTTTAAGTGCTTTTGGCTCACTGAAGCTTAAGTGAGGATTTCCTTGCAATGAGTAGAATTTCCCTTCTGTCCCTTGTCACAAGTTTAAAAACCTCACAGCTTGTATAATGTAACCATTTGGGGTCTGCTTTTAACTTGGACTAGTGTAACTCCTTCATGCAATAAACTGAAAAGAGCCATGCTGTCTAGTCTTGAAGTCCCTCATTTAAACAGAGGTCAAGCAGTATGCGCCTGGCAGTGTCCAGCCTGAAACAGAGCAATAACGTGATGTTTCGGCCAAGCCCAGAGCCCCAAGATCACAGATGGCTCTGTCTGGCCAGAAGCTCCTCGGCTGTCCCTCTGCAGCGTTCCCTGCCCTAAGAGAATGTCACCGCCTGAATTCCTACGGTGAAGCTGAGAGGAGGGGATGGGGTAAGGCAGCAACGGCAACTGTACCACTAGAGGGAGCTGTTCGGTGGCCAAAGATTCCTTGGTGTCTCCAACCTGACCCGGTGGGTGGAGCTTAAAGCAGCCACCTTCCCCTTCTAGTGAGGTGATAGGACATCTGGCTTGTCACCAAGGTCTTTTTGACCAGACGTATCCTAGCTGTTTGATGTCCAAACACCAGAATGTGAGGCCTACCTTCTATCAGTTAAACTTTTGACAAGGGAACAAATTTCAAACTGATGTCAGTTGTGTAGCTAGCTGTAGAGCTTGCAACTTACTAGCAGCAGCTGCCCAATGCCATGTGAAGTAAACTGATTTTTGGTTTTTTTCCCTTCAGTTTTAATGTTATGTGATGTATTTAAATAAAACTTGTTTTCAGAAACAAAAACAAAAACAAAAAAAAAAGAGCTCGCTTGGGCGCACCAGCTCTGAGCAGCAGGGCTGCAGTTCGGATTCCACACTGAGAACCAGTGACGCTGGCCCTCTACAGCTAAGATGATGAACAACAGCTCGACCTGGAGCTGGGCTGCTGTGAGTCGTCAGCGTAGGCTGCAGCAGGGCTGCAATGGGTTGCCCTGAGCTACGTGAGTGGCTGGCAGCCAGCGTGAGCAGCTGGTAGCTGGTGTGAGCTACTGGGAGCCACTGTGAGCAGCCAACCAACGACTGGCGACCGATTGCCTCATCCGGAAAGAGCACAATGATCGTATCAACATGGGCCAGTGAAGCGACATCCTCCACAACTAGACTGAAGAACAAAAACAGCAATTTGTCTACCTGTCTGTTCCCCTTCCCCGATTCCCCAATGCTGTTACCCGCCCCCCAATTCCCCAATAAAATCTTTAAAAAAAAATAAAACTGGACTGAGGGACTGAATAGACATTTTCCCAAAGATAACATACAAATGGCCAACAGATACATGAAAAGGTTCTCAACATTACTAATTAGCAGAGAAATGAAAATCAAAACCACAATGAGGGCCGGCCGAGTGGCGCGATGGTTAAGAACTCGCTTGGGATGCCAGAGGGCCCCGGTTCG